CATCGCAGGCGCATACACCGAAGAAAACTCAATTTCTCTGTAAAATTCCTTCTAAACAGATCTAGCATCCTTGTTAGCTCCAAAATGGCTATTGCTTTGGATCTCTCTCTTCCCAGATCAAATCTCAAGAATGGTCTGGATTGTTCTGTCATACCATCACGAAATTAGATGAAGTGAATATCACTTAAAATATGCATTCTGAGCCGTGTGGCACTGTTATTCATATTGTTGGCACAGTGGGAGCGCAGTGCAAATGTGATAATGTATGGGGGGGTGTTCTGAAAATTGTAAAGGGAGACACCCATGTGAGGTAGGCATTTTATCCTTAAATTGCCAAGAGTGCTTTCTTCCTCGGGCCAGGCCCGGTGGATACCAAGCATACAGCGGCGTGAGAAGGCTTTGACAGTGGTTCTTCGCTTTCCTGCCTCTTCTGTCTTTTTTTGACAAGCCTGGAATGGTTCCAGATGCCTGGCCAGCTGCTGGAAACAAGCTGAGGACTTGGCTTGAAAAGCTGACATCACCTCTCTGAACCTCAGGGACCTGGGGGTGGGGGGTGGGGGACAATGACACTTAACAGAATTTGAGGGATTGTGTCGGCCAAGCACACAGGGCTGGGGACCCAGCAAACTCAGTGCATGATAGCTGTTGTTGCCTCCTCACCAAACAGGTGATCTGCGGGCAAGCACTGCTCAGCCCCTCCACTCTCCCCCACCCCTGTTCATCATTGTCTCGGCTTCTCACCCAGACTTCCCAGAGGCCTTAAAAGGTGGGAAACTCTTCCTTGAACCTACTGATGCTGAAGTCATTAAAACAGAACAATCCAGACCACTCTTGTGGTTTGATCTGGAAGGAGAGAGATCCAAAGCACTTGGGAGGCAGAGGCAGGCAGATCTCTGTGAGTTCAAGGCCAGCCTGGTCTACAAAGTGAGTTCCAGGATAGCTAGGGCTACATAGAGAAACCCTGTAACAAAAAAACAAAACAAAACAAAAACAAACAAAAAAACAAGGCTCAGTCAACTCCTTAAGACAAAGATAACATTGCCCTCTCAGAGTGTGGCTTCTGGGAGCAATATGGGAGGAATCTTCAGTTGGGGGGAGGGAGGCAGAGCCAGAGTCTACTGAGCTCTAAAACCAGGGCTGTGGACTTGCAAATAAGATCTTACTAAATGGTAATGATCTCCTGGTTTCCCAGAGAAGGATAGGGCACCTGCCTGGACTGGCAGCGTGGGGAAGGGAAGAGACTAGGAAATGAAAGAAAAGGCCCCTGGGTGCCACCTAAGGGTCCCGTGGCTGCAACAATGAGCTCTGAACACCACCTTACTTTACAAATGGGGAAACTGAGGCCAGAAGTGTCAGCTCCTTTTCCAAAGGTTGCAATGTTGTCAGTAGCCTGTTTGTTTTTTGCCATTGTACCTGAACTCCAACTGAGACAGTGTAGGCACAGCTACCCCAAAGGCAGAATGTGATGCAGGGATGTCCCTGGGCTAGAGGGTTTAAAGAAGACTATAGCCTAGGGAAAGATGAAAGGAGTTGTAGCTTCAAGTAGCAGGCGGGACAAACTAGCATAGTCTGGTCTGACATGTGTTGCTGTATAAGAGGCGATGAGGTGTTCCCAGTTCCTGAGAACCAGCTTCGAGAAAATGAAAGGGGAACAGAAGGGATTAAGGTTAGATTTAAGACAGCACTTTCTCCCAGGGATGATAACATGGCCCTTTATTCAGTGACCAAGGCAGGCTGTGAACTCATCCCATCCCTCCCACTCCTGAGGCCTCTGGGAATCCATCTTCAATTCCCGAACAGCCTGTTTGGAGTGCAGGAAGCAAATGAGGTAGGTGGCTGACTTTAAAAAGTCCCCACCATCCAGGTAGGTGCTTCTTTTCCTAGATGGGCCTCCTGGCTGAGGGTAAGGACTGCAAGTCATTCAGGCTCTGGGGCCCTGGGGGGGAGAACAGCAGTCATGGCATCTCTTGCAACACGCTCCCTGCCAAATTGATTCAAATTGGCTTGGATATGAACATATGATTAAAGGAGCGGCGCGATTCATTTATCAGGAGAGATTAAAGAGCGGCATCTGCGCAGCCTAGCTGGGGGACAATTAAGGAGCAAATAGCTAAGTGTCTGTGCCACCAGGCACGGGGCCGGAGATGGGGGAAGGACAACTGGGATAATCTGCCAAGAGGACTTGAGGACAAAGGGAGCGGTTTGGGGGTCACTGTCTGCTGTTGTGGTGTCTGGGCACTATGAGGAGTCCCCTAGGGCTTTGGTTCCTGTCCTTGCCTCTTATTCAGGAGTCAGAGCAATCCTACAGGCTGGAAATTACCAGAGTGGATTGAACGGGACACAGAGTGGCTGCAAGATGGGCACAGGGAGAATGGCTTTCTTTTGTGGACTCACAAGCCTCTCAGGAACAAGAGGTCCTGTGGGTATTGAGGGATTTGTGGGGCTTTCCAGGTGTAACCCAAATGAAGACATGCTTGGGAACCAAGGGAATTGCTCCCTTCATAATCTGGAACCTGTAACCCTAGCCAAGGGTTATGTAGAAGCTTAGAGAAGCATTGGTGGTGGTGGTGGCTGTAACTTCTGGTTTTCCCAGGCAGCTGTGGTATGAGCACCGTTTATCCTGTGGCCTCAGGATCTTTGGGCAAGCTTTCTTTCCCGAGTATGTTCCAGTAATAACTGTGCATGCAATCACTCTCCTTCAAGCCCTAGCCCCAAATGCTGTTTGGAGGATCCTCCAGTCTCCCTTCCCAAGGCATTCTCTGTTCATAGCTCCGAAACACCTTCCCTGCCCTTCCACAGGAGCACTTGCTCACATCCCCCAGGGGGGACAGGCACTGTGATCCACTCCTCTCAGGTAGGAAGCTGACAGACAGCAGCAGGTGAAAGCATATGCTCTCATCAGATTCCTTACTGGGCTATCCCTGATCTGAAAGGACTGAGTCTGGACCACAGCAGCTAACAAAGACAGCTTTCTCAACTGCTGAGTGAATTTTCTGACTTGAGCAAAAGCCTTCTTCACCCAAATGGGCTGTGTTGGCTCACACCTGGAATCCTGGCGTTGGGGAGGCTGAGGCAGAAGTGGGAATTGGAGGTAAGCCTGGGCTGCACAGTGACACTCAGTTTCAACAAACAAATATATAACCACTTTCATTGCCTTTTCTTTGTTGGAGGGCAGGCAGCTTTGTTCTCTAAGGATCCATTTCATAGTCCTCCCCAGCTTGTTTTGGTGACCCCCCACCACCACCCCTTTCCCTCTCTTGACTTTCTGGGTGGCTGACATCACCAAAGCCTTTCCCACACTCCTCCCCAGGCGATTTAACTCCTGGGGAAAATATATCTGGCCATGAATAATGCTCAGAGAAGGAGACAGAAGAGGACAGGGAAGGAGAGGTTTTTGGTTTCTTGCTCATCTGCATGAGCTGCCCTATAACTGCCACAAATAGCCAACATGTAGTTCAGGCATTGCAGGCAGGGCCGAGCAGGCGTGTAAGATTCAAGCATGCAGGCAGTACTCCCAGCCCATTCAAGTTTCCTGTGGTAAAAAAGGGCTGAGGAACAGAGAAAATGCTGCTAAATTTTGATCAAAAAGTCATCTTTAAAGTGACCCAAGATAAGTTCTGAGAAGGGCTGGGAAGAGAGGAAAGCACAGTGAGCTGCCAACTCTACTATCCTGGATATAAATGTGGGGGCTCTCTCTTCCTTAATCTCTCTTCTCTCCTGTCTCAGGTGACCTGCCAAAGTTCCATAAGCGGCACTGGTCTGGCTTGTGAGTAGGCCATCACAGACCAAGGTGGCTTCTCCATGTTCCCATCAGATTCCCACCTCTAACCCTGCCCTGGGGTCACCCTGGATTTCCCCTGGGCCTGTAAGGAGAGGCAGGGAGACATGTGACCAGGAGGGAAGGGGCCTTTTATTTCCTTAGGTCAATCAGGTCCACAGGGCCAGCACAGCCTGATGAGCACTAACCAAATTGCAGAAGGGAAGGGGGATGCAGACAGGCCCACACCAGGCACTGCCCTTGAGCCCCCAAGTCTGGTGGAGTGGCCGAGATGTCCAGACCACTTGTTGCTGTGTCTGGGGTAAGTGTGTGGGAACCAGGGACCCGGGCAGAAGAAAGATGACAAAGGGTTAGGACTCTGGTCTGGTAAACAGATGGAAACATCCACCTTCCACTGGGCCCACCACAAGTCCTCAGCACCAAATGAGCTGGCTACACTGTGGACAGAAGGAAGGCAGTGCTGGAAGCCATGGACTGGTGCAGGTGGAAGAGATCAGCTCTTGAATAATTGCTCATTGCACGTAATACTCCAACAAGGCTTGCTAGGCCCAAGCCAGAAGCACCAGGCTGCCCTGCCTCCCCACACTGCCTCTTAAGAGCCAGGGCTCCAGCTCTGCTCACCAGTGTCCCCCGGCTGCAGGCTTCATGAGTAAGGACCGCTGGAGGAGTGAAGATGGTGGGAAGATTCCCAAGGCATCCCACAGGGCCCAGCTGCGACAGCAACCCCTCCCGCTCTCAAGGATGCAGCTGCATGGAGGTTTGGGTATTTAAATTAAACAGTAGAAAGACAGCAGGCACTGAGAAGGGAAAGCCCTCACCCCAGCAGAGGGGAGGTGTTGCTGTTCCCTCCTGACTCCCATGGGTCCGGCAGCTTGGAGTGGTCCAGCAGGTAACCTATCCACCATCCCTGAGCAGGAGGCTGAGATGGAGGTCCACTACCGGCGCCATGACACTGTCCATGATGGCCAGAGTAGGAGCCAGGAGTGTGGCATTTCTGAGGCAAGAGTGGAAGTTCTCTTTGCGAGACTCCTCTTTCCCCGACCTCTTCCACATGGAGCTATCTGACACCCACAGCCTGGAAAGCCCCCCTGACAGAGCCAAGGTGTTTTCCATGCAGATCGGCAGTCAAGTGGGGGCAGTTGTACCCCTCTATTTCCTGGGAGAGGCTGTGGGGTGGGAGCGCTGTGAGCCACTTTCCCTCCCCTGGCTGGGGCTATGCATTGGTCTCTGTCGGCTTGGCCTCTGTGTCGCTGTCACTCAAATAGCTGTGGGAGAATCGGGGTCTGGAGGTGCTGTCTACAGGACCATTCTCATCATCTGATGGGTCAGGGGCGAGGGACTTCCAGTGACTGGTTGGGCTGCAGAGAGAGAGAGAGGAACAAGGTCAAGGCCAAGTAATACTCCTACTCTGGGGCACCAAGGCTCTGTTCGAGCACTTCAAAACCCAAATGTTGCTGGGTCAGTGCTCTCCTGGGTGAGCCTGGGAGATGCTTAATGTAGAGAAAGGAACACACACACACATACACGGTTTGCACTTGGAAAGCTTTGAAGAGTATCAGGACAAGGAGGCTGGTGGCAGCGGGAACCCGGCTTCCGAGAGCCTAAGAAACAGCTGCATGTTCCTGGCTCCTTCCTGAGAAGCTAGGACTCAGTCATGAGGGAGGAACCCAGGGATTCCAAGAGCTCCCACCTCTGATGAAGGTAGGCCAAAGACCACACAGATGACAACAATTCGAGATTGATTACAACTTGTCCAAGGAGGAAACTCTCAGGAAGTCACTCCTGACAGGATCCCAGGTCTGGACTATTTCTCCTAATCAGGGTTCCCCTGGGCCTAGAAGACTTCTGTCCTTGATCACGGCATCCTACTGGAAAAGGAACCGGGAGACTCAGGACAGAGGCTGGCAAGTCCTGTTTCCTGTTTCAGGATGGGCCTCTGGGGGTCTTCATTAGGCTCCTGACTCTGGAGGAGGACATGAAGAAGCATAGCCCCCAGAGGGAGGAGGACTGTGACATCTAACAGCTAACAGGACCTCATCTTGTGGCTCCATTTACACTCTGTCTTTCCCAGAGCTTCAGAGGCCCCTCCTGTCCCCACTTCTCCGATCACATACACTATAGTCTAACACCAGTGGAGAAGATACAGCCCAACACAGTATCACCTCTCCCGGTGCCCTGTCCTCAGCTGGGTCCCTGGATCCGCCGCCACTGCCTGAGCTCTGAGTGACAAAGGGACACAGCCCTGCCTCCAGGTCCTCATAACATTCTACTTGGACTAAGAGTTTCTACAATCAGTAGGCCTGCTACATTCTGAACTAGGAACCCAAGGACAGCCCTTCATTTACTCGTCCGTTTAAAACCACAAGAGTAGGAGACAAACAGCATTTTAGGTTTCCCTGGAGGTAGCAATAGAGGTGCAGAGGAAAAGGTTCCATCACTGAGTCTTCCTATAGGAGGCACTGCCCGTGCCCCTTGGAGCAATGGTTGTCAACTTATGGGTCACGATCCCTTTGGGGATGCATATCAGATATTTACATTATGGTTCACAACAGTAGAAAAATTACAGCTATGAAGTAGCAATGAAAATAATTTTATGGTGTGTGTGTGTGTGTGTGGGGGGTCACCACAACATGAGGAACTGTGTTAAAGGGTCACAGCATTAGGAAGGTTGAGAACCACGACTTGAACTTAATATTTGGCCTTATTCTCCTTGGCAACCTATGGAACCTATGGTTCCAAGGGAAGAAGCACACTGGGCCAAGGTCACAGCCAAGTCCTGACCCTGAATCTGAACCTCAGCCTTGTAGCACTCTGCCACTAGGTGAGACAAGACAAAAGCAAGACCAAACCTGAAGTCTCATGCTGGTGGGGGAGGGGAGACTGGGATATGGTAAAGACAGGTCTCTGTGTCCCTGGCGGAAGGAAAGAGCCTGGGAAAATATATGTTCAATTATGCAAAATGGTTCGACAACGGGGCAGTCTGGTTAATAGTTATCGTATTTCTCATGAATGAATTACCATTTTTAAAGGAATCAGAATAGCACAAAACACACTCAATACAAACTAGACTCAACATAAATGAGTCTTACTCTGATGGGCCAGAAGCACTTAGGGCCTTGCAGCATCTCCAGGACAAAAATTATAAAGCTCAGTGATAACTGTGCAACACAGAAAAAATGGGGGTGATTGTAGCCCTGGGGTTGCTTGAATCCTGAATTAGTAGGGAGCCAGTTGTGGTCTTCTTTAACACAGACTTTCCATACACCCTGTGCTAAAGGTTTGCTTTCTGGCTAAGGAATGCCCGGCTGTGAGGAAGGACAGTGGTGGTGTTTGTGAGCAAAGGGTGTGAGGCCAGGGCTGGGGTCCAGATGTAAATGAGGCACAGCCCTGTGGGGCCTGTTGCTTTCTCTTTCATCTCTTTTCATAGGTGGATCTCCAGCCTCCACCCCCACGTCCCAGACACCCCAGGAAACATAGTCAGCTTGCTCTAAAGACACTGCGAAGGGGCAGAAGCAGCCAAGGACAGGGCAAACTCTGCCTTGCTGTGAAGCCACAAATCTTTGCCATCTTTCTTGAGTTTTCTAGCCAGTCTCTGTATCTGTGTCTGCTGCCACCATCAACAAGCCAATGGCGGGCAGCTCCCTGTCCCCAGAGCAAGAGTCAGGCTGGCAATTGGAACATTTTAACTAAATTGTTTAAAAAGCTTTCCTCCCCACAAGTCAGTGTCTCCTGCTCTGTGCTGTCATAAACAATTTGGTACACAAGCTAATTCCTGCTGGGAAAGCCCAGGGTGATGCTGCAGTCTGTGTTTTGGAATTCTTCACCAGTCCTTATCCCCTGGTGAAGCTCTGTCCCCACCTTCTGCCTTTGCACAGCATAAACAGTTCAAAGGCAGCGGGAACCAGCAAAGCCCTCCCTGTCCTCTGCCCCCACTCAGATCTGTTAGCTATGTTCTAGTTGGGGACCTCTCTCAACATTGACTCTAATCCTCATGGTGGCACAGTGTAGGTTTTCAGGACTCGGTGGCTCTCCCTGTAGACAAAAGCAAGTGAGCTGTGGCGAGAGGAGGCTGCAGACACAGACTTTCTGTCCTATTCGCTGTGCAAAGTGACTGGGAGCTGGAGAGATTCAGGTATGACATCTGCCAGTCACCAGTCAGTCGGGGATGGCCCAGAAAGGCACTGGCTTCCTTCTGGGAAGGGGTACAGAAAGGCCCCGCCTTCTCTGTTTCTAGACCTCCCCTTCCACCCACCAACTGACTTCTCGCCCTGGGGTGCACAGCCCATAGCAAGGCTGCTAAAAGGAAGCTGAAATCGTAGGCCAAATGTTGTGACTCCTGTCTTTTCTCCTGAGGGAGCTAACAAAGACCACACATGCTCCCTGGTCTCCCCTGAGCACTCTGAACCCATCTGTTGTGGGAGAGGAGGCCACAGAGCAGCACTGAGACCAAGGAGTGCTTTCACCCCTCAGGCCCCACTGCCATAATCCTGGGTTGGATTCAAGCTGCACTGCCTCACCCCCACTTCCCAACCACTGGCCCTCTTCCTCTACCCATAACACACCCCAATTCACCAGATGCCCCATGGCACAAGCATGCTATAGGTGTATTAGTTCATGCATCTGGGAAGCAACTGTAGTACCCCAGGTGGCTACAGCCTGGGGTTGTACCTCCTGGGAAGCAGCAAGCATGCCCCAGGAGGGCACCATGCTGAAAATGCTTCAGACCGGCTCACAACAGGGGTGACTCAAAATGTCACCACCCACCAGGGAAACTGGCAACAATGGGATCCCAATGATTCAGACTCTCTGTTGAAGGTGTAGGCACAAGGGAGAAGGGCTGGGGGAGGCAGGAGAACGGGGGGGGGGGGGGGGGGGGGGGGGCTGTCAGGAAGCAGCTGCTAATTTCTATTCATTAGAACTTTACAAGATGAGCAGAGCTGAGGTGACGCCCATGTGTGGGCTGAGTGTGGGTGGGAGGGCTAGGGAGGCGGCAGGCATCTCCTGGGTCTCCTGTAGGGTGTGGTACAGTGTGGGCTGCAGCTTGAGACCCATGCCAAGGAGGAAAGCAGCAGAGCAGAGAGCCAAATCCCTCGTCAGAGCTCACGGCCAATGTGTCATGTCAGCTAGTATCCTTTCCTGGGTCCATCTTGTTGGGTGAGAGCTCTGAAATGGGTGCTGGTGACACATTGGTGCTCTGCATGTGGCCACATGGAGAAGCAGTTAAGGTTAATTGAAAGTGTTAACGAGATCCTAGTAGCCCCTGGTAAGCTCACTTCCCAATTGTGTGACTTCCGCAGGTAACTTGAACCTCTCTGGGCCCTAACTTTTTATGAAACAGCTGATCAGACCTTTGTTAGGAAGTCATAGCAAAGATTAGTTCCAAAAACATAGCACAGGAGGCTCTCTGAGGCCCAAGAGGGGAGCCTGAGGTGCTGGTTGGAAGGGCAGGGGGCATGTTAGTTCACAAAGGGTGGGACACGCCATGCTGCACTCCACTCCACGCCAGGCCAGGTGTCACCTACTGCGCTAGTCACTCTCTGGCCGGTACAGGTACCGCATCATCAGACTGTCGACCTCTTTCTTTCGCTGCTTCTCTTCCTTCTTTGACCGTCTTGGCGCTTGCCCGGTTTCCTCGATGTCTGTGGTTGGGCCCCTTTTCACACTGGAGCGGCTGTGGCCTGAGACTGTGGAGCCACTGGATGAGGACGAGGAGGATTCAGACTCACTCTCTGTTTTCTTTCTTCTTGATTTGGATTTCTTCTTGCTCTTCCGAGAGCGCCCTTTCCTCCGCCGCCTGTGCTCGGAGGAACCTTCCGAGCTGGAGGAGCTGGAGCTGGAGCTGGAGCTGGGGCTGGTCCGTTTGCTCCTCCGCTTGCTCCGGCTTTTGCGGCCACTGCGCGACCCAGAGACATCCACAGCAGAGGCAGAGCGGCGGATGCTGGTGCTCCTTTCTGGGCAATCCAGCTGTGCGCTACGGGCACTCTGGATGCTCTTCCGGTCGTCATCCTCAGAGTCTGGCTCCAGGCTGCTCCGCTGGAAGGGCACAGGTTTGTAGCTCAAGACCTCGTTAATGGCAGCTTCCAGGTCTGGATCCAGGTAGGAGTGGCGGCTAACTGGTCGGATGCTGGAGCCCTCAGTGACAGAGGCTGAGGATGAGGCAGAGCCCCGTGGCTGGGGTGGCACAGACAGACTCCGGGCCAGTGATGGGTGGCTAAATTGTGAGTGTGCCTCACTGAGGGCCACGCTGGCTCCATCATCCCACTCATCCAGGCAGCTCTGGCCAAGGGACAGCCGGGAGTCAGGGCTCTCCCGGTCCAGGCCTGAGGCCCTGTTCCAGGAAGGGCTTAGGTTCCTTGACAGGCTGTCGAGTCTGGATGTGCTGCGGCGGGAGCTGGGTGAGCCTGACAGTGAGAAGCTCAGAGAGGAGCGAGCCCTATCCTCCCCAGAGCCACGCGTGGCCGAGGAGGCCCGGCTGACTGGGGCAGAGACAGTGGAGGCTCTGTCAAAGTCTGAGCCCCAACGCTTCTCTAGACCACGGCTAGTACGGCTCCCAGCCCCTGAGAAGATGGAGCTGCAGTCATCCTGCTCCTCACACCTCCTGCCTTGGGCCTGGTCGGGTTCCTCCCTGGGGGCCACACGGGCCTTCCTAGGGGGCCTTTCAGGGGAGGTGGCACGCTCACTCAGGGTGGTGAGGAGTGACTCCTGGTCCCCAGTGCCCCCGATGGAGTCTTTCAGGGTGAGCCTCTTGCGGTAGCTGAGGGAGCTGAGTGCAGAGGCGGGTCTCTCCTCTGGCCCCTTGCCCTCCTTAGGGAGGCTGTTGAGAGCCGTCCTGAGTGAGATGGGAGGCCCAAGAGGAGAGACCCAGAGTGGATGGATGAATGACAGGGGAGGGAGGAAGGGAGGGAAGGAGGGAGAGAAGGAGGAAGGGAGAGAGAGAGAGAGAGGAGGAAGGGAGAAGAGAGAGAAGGGAGAGAGAGAGAGAGAGAGAGAGAGAGAGAGAGAGAGAGAGAGGCATTAACAAAAATAAGGACACAGGGGGAGGGAGGAAGGAGGAGAAAACTGCACAGCCCTGGCAAAGCGGTGGCAAGAGCATCCGAGGAAATGAAGCAAAATAATTTGCGTCAGTGAAAATAGCTTCATGGAGAATGTCATGTAAATTAGACTATTGTTCTATTTCATCACTTTTCCCCCTCTAAAACGTTTAGTTCAATTTATTTCATTGTCAACTACCTGGAGCCTTGTGCCACACTGTGGTGAACGGCAGCGGGGCGGGAAGGCGGCATTATCTGCAATAACAAAATGTTGTTTGGCCGAATAAATTAAACCAATTACTGGGGGCCGCTGGGTGCTAGTGGTGAGGGGCTGGACTTGGGGGAAGGGGCCTGGGGGAGCTGGAAAAGAAGGAGAGAGATTACTTTTTCTATCCAGCCTTCTTACTGTCTCTGGAGAGGTGGGGAAGGGAGCAAGGAACTCTGTGTGGGAAGGAGTGCAGGGAATAGGCCCTAGCTAGCCAGTGATGGATGGGAAGTGGGAGCTCTGGCTGTCTGTGTGATCAGATTATGACTGACTAGCAGTAGGGGAGCAAGCCCCCCCCCAGCCCCAAGATTAGCAGGCAAGCCTGGAGGTAGGGGTGGTCAGGGAAGAGCACAGAGAGCAGGGAGAGGAGGGCTTATGCAGCATAGCTCTGGGAGCTGGTAGCTCTGGGAGCTGGTGCCTATGCATTGCTGCTCTGCAGAGGAGGACGGAGGTCCAGAGCCACCAAGGCTGCCCTGTGCAGGGGGCTCTGGGACCCAGAGTCCCCAGTGCCCCATCCAAGTCCTGATTTCAAAGGCACCAGCAGTGAGATGGCTGCTGAGCAGGTAGGTGGTATGAAGTTAAACCTACACAAGAGCTCACACCCAAACAGGAAACCGTTACCTAGCTAAGCAGCTGGCCTTCTGTGTTCTTGCCGCAGGCCAGGAGAGTGTACACGTGGCCTGAGGGTGGCATCCTTGGTGCCAAGATACTGCCCACCTGTGACTGGTGGCTGAGATGGCTTTTCCTCCCTGCTTGAGGCCAAGTGCTCACCTGGAACTCTTCAAGCTGCCATCATCAGAAGCTGCCTTGGAAGGTCCCTTGTTCTTTGACAACCAAGACTTGACCCCGTCGACCCGGTCCTCCAGCTCTGAGTCCACATCAGAGTCTCCCTCACTGTTGGGATGAGGAGCAAAAAGGTAGGCAAGGCAAGGATGGAAAGCAAGAAGGGGAAAGGGTGCCCCTTGGGTTGGATGCAATGCGGGTGGCATGCGCATCGGTGAGTCAGAGAGAATGGAAAAGTTAGAGTGAGCACATCACCCCATGAGGTGCCCATCCCTTCCCTCAGCAGACCACACTGAGTGACAGCCACTAAGAAGGTCCTGGGAAGCATGGAGGTACCACCCATTCCTCCAGGTAAAAATGACAAGCTATTCAGCGGGCCAACCAGATGAGAATGATAGGTGGGCCATCCATTTAGCAAATCTACCTTGGCGAAAAGAGAAATTTTAGGGCTGACAAGATGATTTGTGGCACTTGCCACAAAGCCTGAGTTCAAACCCTTGAAGCCATATGGTGTTCTCTAACTTCCACACGTACACTGTAGCACACCCATGTCGATGTACACACATATATCCACACAAATAAGTGTTTATTGCCTGGCAGTGGTGACACACACCTTTAATCCCAGCACTAGGGAGGCAGAGGCAGGTAGATCTCTGTGAGTTCAAGGCCAGCCTGGTCTACAGAGTGAGTTCTTGCACAGCCAGGGCTACACAGAGAAACGCTGTCTGGAAAAAAACAAAACAAATACGTGTGTGTGTGTGTGTGTGTGTGTGTGTGTGTGTGTGTGTGTGTGTGTTTTCCTGGGCCCTTCAGCTCCCCCTAGAGGCCTATGTTGCTATTTCTTGTTGACATGCCTTAGACTGCCTATAGCTACCACCATTTTCTATGTCTTCATTATAAAAGCAGAGCTTTTTCTGCTACACAGAGGGCAGAAGACAAGACCTTCAAATGACTTCAGGTTAACTTGAACCTGAAGGTCTCTTAGCTGCTAGCAACATAAACCTTAGTTAATGAGGCACCAGCCACATCCTAGACCCACCTTGTGGTGTCCCTGGCTTTAGAAACAGGAAAAGAAGAAAGAGGAGGGGAGCAGCAGCCTTTCCTGAGGGCTTGGCGGTACCTTCAGGATCCAGGGAGCCCCAGGAAGCCCAGTGGGCTCAGAAAGTCTGCAAGCAGGGTTCTAACTCTCCAGGCCTCCTCATCCCTCCCTTAAGCAGCCTCCAGCCCTTGCTCCCCACTGCTATTGCTGGACAGGCTGACCCCAGGATCTGCAAGAAAGCCTCAAAGAGTCTAATTCTGAGGCTAGAGACCTGGTGACCCCCCCCCCCATGAAGCAGTGGGGGCATAGAGATGGTTTCTGAGTGCAAATGCTTTGCAAATTTTGCAAAATGTCTGCTCCCTAAGTTCCTCTGCTACAGATAGGATGAGATTTCTCCTTGATATAAATTTCTTTTCATCTGTGTCAAAAGGAGTGGCCTGGTCCTGAATCATGTTCTTGAATAAACAGCCACATAGGCACATGCATGCATATCCAGACATGTGCGTGTACACACACACACAGATATACACACACATATCAGAGACAACCACAGTTCTGGGGATCAGGAGAGAGCCAAGCACATGGGGAAGGGGAACAAAGAGGCATATTTTATGGGCTTCCATCAAATACGGAATTATAACAGAGACAAGGCCTGGTGATGCCCCAGGTAAACAGGAGTTTAGCAGGCAGCCCCCAAACCACTAATGCAAGCTCTGTGCCCATCTGAGCCTGGCAGATTTACTGTGGTGCACGGGTCCCATGGACCGCCAATACAACCTGATTTACACACCCGTGCAAAAAACTCCCTCTATAGCTTCAGAGCCTGTAATTTATCACCACCGTGCATAACCATATTGATTGCCTTTAGAAAGGAGGTGCTGTATGCATCGCAAAATCTATGTCTACATGTTAAAAGTGTTTCTGTATAAATCTCCCTTAATACTGCACTGTTTACTGCTTTCATTAAGGTTATAGCAATAACAACTGTATCTCTAAGTAAATCGAAACATTATTTTTCTGCCCGCCTTAGCATGCTAGTTCGATAACTTGGAGCTGTTGAGGAAGGAGCCCCTCTGCCATCAGTGGAGCCTGCTTAGAACTGCACATTTTTATGTACCTGCATTGAGTGCACACTTGTGTGTGTGTGTGTGTGTGTGTGTGTGTGTGTGTGTGCGTGCATACAAGCGCACACGCCCAACTATAGTTTAGAATATGATCTTCAATGCACATTTTATCAGCCCTCAGAGCTCCTTCTGCATAAGGATGGCAGCATAGAACACACCGGGGACAGATTGAGGCCCAGAATATGAATTCCCTTCCTTACATTCAGGGCAGTCAGTGGGCTGAGAAGCTGGCCTGCCTACCCTCACCTTCCTTCCACTTAGTTGCAAGAATCCAGACAATGTTCGGGTTCTCTTCCTTAAATAATCAGGCCCGTAAACAAACTCCAGGGGCAGGCAGGCTCAGGGGGCAGTTGAAATTTTAAATGGTCGGAATTAAACCTCGCGTCAAATACAATTTATGTCCAGGCTCATGTGCTATTAGTTAACTGGGAGCCGAATCACGGGGGAACAAACAAACGGAGACAGAACGGCAGGGGATATTAATTGTGTGTGACAACCGGGCTCCAGCGGCCCTCTATCACTGTTACACACTATTACATTTATCATTAGCTCCTCCGGACTCCTTTGCACGGCCGCCAGCCCATCCTGGCCAGGGGAGGCGGCCTGCCAGGCAGGAAATTCAGTCCTATGCTGAAAAACAACCTCCAAAGCAACCCTGTCGAACTTGACAGAGGATCAGCAAATCCGCCTGAAGGCCCTGCACATCCGCACACTTGCCAGCTCCCCCCACCACCAGAAAGAGGGAACAGAGAAGGGCAGATGTTCTAGGCCTGCCACCACCTGACAGACATACCAACACAGATATGTTCCTCTTACCACCACCACTGCCTGAAGTGGCCCCAGGGAACAAAAGAAACACAACCCGCTGTTTCTTTCCCCTGCCACAGCAGAGCTGCCCAAGATTAGCCGCCTGGATGCTTCCTTCAAACAAGCAGCTGTGAGATGCCCCTCACCTTCAACCCTCATCTGCCCAAGGAAGGTGACAGGCCTTAAACACAAAACAGACCCCCTCCCTTCCAGGCAGCTTGGGTTCCAAGAGCCCAAGGATGTAACCTGAACACTGGCCACCCCCAGAGAGGCAGGCCAGGGTGGTGACCACACTTGGTTCTTAGAGAGAGGAGGCTGGGACTCAGCCAGGCAGATGAAGCCTCATCCAGGCTAACAGGGCTTTGAGGGTCAGTCTGGCCTTCTAGGAACACATTTCACAGTCATCCAGTCCTTTCATCCCAGCCTAAGGACAGTCAGTGGTGTTAGCATTAGAGACCAGTTAGAGAGAGTGTGAGGAGGCTGTGTCTGCATGCAGCATGCAGCAGGGCCCCCTGGCAGGAAGCCCTATGTTAGGGATGGTTAGACACCCATGGGGAGAGGCAAAGAGCACATGGCTCTGGTCCTCACAGTTTATTCTTTCTTTTCTGATATTTTGTCACCATGTCCTGCAAACTGGAAACAGAAAGAAAATGGTGGGCAAAAGGGCCAGAAGAAGCAGATGGAAAAAAAAAAAAATCAATGGACAAACTGAGGAGTGCCTTCCTCCGAGCTTCTTTCTTCAGTAAATGACAGCTCAGCTGGCTGAGCTCAGGCAGAAGTGAGGAACAGGATCCCTCAGAGCCAGCATGCATCCAAAGGAACAATCTTTCTGGGCTGCCCTGCCCTGCCCACAGGATGGGACCTGAGCCTGAGGCAGGAAGCAGGGAGCTCTGGGATCTACCTAGGTCCCAACCCCACCCCCACACTGCTGGTCCTGTGGATTTGTGACTTTCCCCTCAGCCTAGGACTACAAATCTCTCTCCTCATTCTCCAAAACCATTCCCTGGGTGGGTTTTATGCGAGAAAATCTCTAGCACAGTAACAAGGTACCACAGCCCTTAAATCTCTGCTCTCCCTAGAGTGGGGCAGGCACCATCGGAAGTGCAGCTAAACGGAGGAATAACTCATGGGGAGCAGGTACCAGAGCCAGGGCTTTGGGAGGCCTGGGAAGGAGAGTATGTGTGTGTTTGGTGTTGGTGGGGGGTGTGCGGAGAGAAGTACCTAACCCCTAGCACCCTCAGCCTCTCCCATCTGGGTCTTGTACTGGGAGGGTAATTGAAAGGTTGTAGCTGTCACCTGGGGCCCAGATTCCACTGTTCAAGAGAGCCTTTACCCCACCTGAAACGCCATAGACTCTGCCTCTCACCTGTTGATAAGGTCCTCATTCTCATCACTCTCCATCTCGTCCTCAATGGCGGCTTGCAAGTCCCCAATGCGCTTGAACGCCAGCTTTAGATCAGCCTGCAGGCTTTGGTTAGCGGCTTCCAGACTCTCCAGGTCCATCTCCTAGAAGGGGGTGGGGGGTGTCTAGTGTACAGGAGGGCCGCACTGTCCCCGGTATCTCTGAAGGAGCCTGGAGCAAATTTCTCACTGCCAGGCAGGAGCTACCCTGGTGCTACCTGAAGCCTCCAAAGGGTTCTCTATTCAAGGGCTACTAGGCTGCCTGGGTGGAGCCTTCTGGGGTCACCCTTGATTCTCTTGCCTGTTCTCAGGACTGAAATGTCCCCAACTAAAATCCAGGGTGAAGTAAAACGTATACGTAACAGGACTTGGGAGCTGAAATGCCCCCCCCCCCCCGAGTCCAGGGTGTACTTAGCAGTGTACTGGGGGCCTCCTGCTTGGGACCCATGAGGAGCAGGACATTACCAGCTCATGTTTCTTGCGGCTGGCCTCGGCCTCCTTCCTGGCAAGTTCACTCATCTCCTCCTTAGTGTCCCGGAGCTGTCGCTGGAGCCTCTTGTTCTGCTCCTTCTCCCGGTTCTCAGCTGCAGCGCGATGGTCCCGTTCCTCAGTCAGCTTCTCCATGTTTTCCTTGAGCCGATTAGCCAGGCTCTGGGTGAGCAGGTTGAGAAGAAAGACCACCAGGTAGGCTGTCAGCCAGGCAAAGGGGCTGTTGGCAGGAAATCTGGCCAAGCTCTCTGGTCCCCCTACTCAGCTATGGCTAAGAGATGCAGGAGTTTACTTCTTCCTACCCCTACCCCAGCCCTTTTTGTGTCTTCCTGTGTGTGTTGGAGCACATGTGTATAGGCCAGAGGTCTACCTGTATTATTCCTTATGTGGCATCCATCTTGTCTTTTGGGACATGGTCTCTTATTGAGACCTAGAGCTCATCGATTAGGCTGTCTGACTGTCTAGCAAATCCAGGTGATCCTCCTGTCTTTGTTTCCCAGTGCTGGGATTACAAGCAAGGGCACTATACCTGAGGTTTTTGTTTTTTGTTTTTTTCCTTTTATTTTTATTTTATGTGCATTTGAGTTTTGCCTGCATGTATGTCTGTGTGAGAATGTTGTATCCCTTGGAACTGGAATTATAAACAGTTGTTAGCTGCCATGTAGGTGCTGGGAATTTAACCCAGGTCTTCTAGAAGAACAGGCAGTGCTCTTAACCACTGAGCCATCTCTCCATCCGCCTAGACTTGGCTTTTTATGTAGGTGCTGACTGAACTCAGGTCCTCATTTGAGCAGGGTGAGTACTTTACCAATTGATCTGTCTTCTTAGCCCCTGAGCTTCTCTGTCTGTTAAAGGGGAAGATGACACCTGTATCTAGGGGTCTTTGGAGGACGAAGGAAGGTCGTAATGAGAAGGCAATCAAGAAGAGGAAGGGCTGTGGTTACTCTTATTACTGCAGAGACTTGAGCAGGCTCTAGGCAAAGGCTGGCCTGTCATATAACTGTCTCCATGGTCATCAGGGATTTTTCAGAGATGCTGAACTCAGAGGCGACAGCCAGTGTTCGTTCAGAGGTGACTGGCTCCACTGTGAGTGTCTGATTAAGAGACATGGACAGAGCCATCTCTCTTAGCCTTATGACTCTGTCCCTGCCAGGCAGGAGGATCCTAAGCAGGAAATAATTTGGAGTGGAGGCAGAGTATAAGGAAGGACTGAGTCAGTGCCCGGGGTCACTCTACCACTGACTCCGCCCTGCCTGGTATGGAAGTGACAGGCCCAGCCTACAGGGTCACTGGGGATGAGTCTAAACCACAATATTGCCTTTCTCAGTAGAAGAGAGTCTGAGGGGAGGGGCTGCAGCCTGAGAGAAAAGTGAGGTGACAAGTTCAGGAGTTAGAGCCTTTATCCACCCACCATCAGGGGCTTCCTCTGGCCTCAAGCTGCAATGAACCCTTTCCTGTGTGTGAGGTGGGGACTGCTCTGGGGTCCTGGGGGCAGAAAATAAGCTACTAAGTTCCCTCTAGTTCTGTCTGGTTTTCCATGTTGGGAGTTTTGTCCACACTCCTTTCCTATGACCAGGCTGGGAATGCCCTGGGCTGTCTGTCTGCCTGCTTTCACCTCACCTATAGCCTGCTGTGCAACTGACGGACTCACAGGGGAAGGGGCAACAGAGAAGCTCCTCATCCACCACAGGAACATGTTCCCGGGCAGGCCTGATGATGTCTGGACAGATGTCCATAAGCTCAGAAGGAAAGAGCTTCAAGACAAGACTACAAGTGAGGGCTGGAGAGATGGCTCAGAGGTTAAGAGCATCGGCTGCTCTTCCAGAGGTCCTGAGTTCAATTCCCAGCAACCACATGGTGGCTCAAAACCATCCATTATGAGATCTGGTGCCCTCTTCTGGTGTGCAGATATACATGGAAGCAGAATGTTGTATACATAATAAATAAATAAATAAATAAAATCTTAAAAAAAAAAAAAAAGACTACAAGTGAGCACTCAGACACAATTCTGACATCTCTCACACAGGTTGGGCTGGGGCACACCTGGCACAGGAGACCAGAAGAGGAAGGGACCAAGGTGGAGAATGGAATGGCCATTGGGTTGGGGGGGGGGATCAAAACATGGATGAAAAGAGGCCAACCAAAAGAGAGGGAGGGGCTCAAAGAAAGAGGGGGGATGAGGAAAGAAATGAAAACATTGGAAGAAGTAAGGAAGAGGTGGGACAGTCACAGGGAAAACAGAGGAGCCGAGCAGGGCTGGAAAGGGTGACAGAGGCGAGGGAAGGGGGGAATGCAAGAAGGAAGGGGAGAAGAGGAGAGAGCCATGAGATGAGAACAGACTTCAGCCCTTAGAGCAGTGGTACCATCCGCTGCATATTTATGACCCTACCAGAGAGTGAGTGAGGGGGACAGGAGGGGGAGCTCGTGGCAGAGGAAAATATGAAGACGAAAAGCTAAGCTGCTCCGGTCCCTTGGCGGAAAGCAAGCACGGATACAGAATGTAAAATAGGCAGGCTCTGCGGGACCCAGAGAGCAGGCCAGGCAGGCGGGAGGGGAGCTCCCGCCCTGTCAGCTGGCCTGGCAGCTTGGCAGAGGACTCTGAGGAGTGTCCCTGGCTTGCACAGCCCTTCAGAGCATGCGTGGCTCCAGCCACTGGGGCAGCTTTGCTTGGCTTGGAAGCTGAACCCACCTCCAGACGCTTCACTTGGGTCTTCTCGAACTCCAGGCGCGTTTCCAGCTCCCTGATCTTTGCTTCTTGCCTGCTGACAAGGGACTTGTCTACCATGGACTGCTCCAGGAACTCCACCTGGCTCTGCAGGGCTTGTAGCTAGGGGTAGGGGGAGCAAGAGAAGAGTGAATTGAGTCCAGAAGGGGTGGGGGGCGGTGTCAAGCCTGGAAGAGGCAACATCACCATGGCGACTAGAAGGCCAAGGGAGGGAAAGATACACAGAGGAGGGTGTGAGGAATGCCTCCCTCCCAGCCCCCAGCAAAGGCATCCCCCACCTGCCCCTGCACTGGCACTGCTCTTGCCCTTCTGAGAGGGAGGAGAGAGGTAAGGACCAGGGAGGGAATAGAAATGTGAAGCGAGGCAACCAAAGCCAAAACATCTACCATGGTGATGTGGCCGTAAGCCTAGCTCTCCCTGCCGGTTCACACTGCTCTTGTGGCTTACTGACGGAAGAGAGAAACACCCTCCACACTAGAAGATCAAAGCTTCATCCCCACTGAACTCTCACGCCCAAGGGAACCCGGGGTACCCACCTTCTCTTGTAGCTCTTGCTTCTCCTTGTTGGATTCTTCTAGCTGAGCCTGGAGATCGTTCATCTGTGCCATGTCCCGGGAGGCCTGGGAAAGGAGGGAAGAATGGGGGAAAGGGTCCCCAAATAGAAATTCAGCCCCTATCTATCCACTGAGGGTCAGGGCACCTAGACTCACAAGCTATATCTCGCCAAAGAAGTGTCTAGAGCTGGGCATGATGGTGCACACCTTTAGTCCAGCACTTGGGAGGCAGAGGCAGGAGGATTTCTGTGAGTTCAAGGGCACCCTGGTCTACATAGTGAATTCCAGGGCAGCCATGGCTACATATCTCAAACAACAACAACAAAAAAAGTGTCTAGCTGCAGATCTATGAGATGGCCCAGAGGATCGTAACCATGATGTCATTCCTGGCAGGGTACCTGGGCCACAGCTGCCTTGTGCTTCTTCATCAGCTCGTTCATGTCCTCCTGATCCTCTTCCAGCCGGTTCTGGATCTCATTTTTCTCACGCTGCAGGCGACTGAGTTGCTCCTCCAACTGGACAGAGGCAGGGATAGATCAGAGAGCATCAGGTCTGTGTCTTCAGGCCCAGGGGTGGCAAGTCCAAGCCTGCCCCACCCCATGCCACCTTCTCCTAGGTGGAATGATAGTAGGGTAGGGACATGATATGTTGGAGTGAGTTCCAGAAGCAGCGGACCCTTCTGATGGGTTCTGGGCAGGGAGATGAGGGACAGAGCTGCTTGTGTGGGATGGCAAACCCTGGGCTTCAATGTGCTAAATGGCAGCTGCTTTCTGGAAGCTCTTTCAAGGCTAATGACAAGGTAGAAATTCTACCCTTAACAAATGACCCTTCGTCCCAGAACATCAGCCTGACTGGCATGCACTCTGCCCACATCAGGCCTCAGGGAAGGACCTTTCAAGCTGGTGACATCCCTTGGCTTGGAATTTGTTTGCCCTGGGGGATGGCCCACTCTTGGGTCATTCAGCTCCCCCAGCTGGCCTTGGGGGAGGGGAAGAGACAGGTACCAGCAGCTTCAAGAAATGAATGAATCTATTAGCCTGTAATTCCAAACCCAAATGACTGCGTTGGTGCCTTCTCTGCCCCATCCATCTTGTTACTGGGCTGTGGGGAGCTGGGGAAGCCTCCGCCAAGAAATTTATTAACTCAGATTTAAATAAAATGGTAATTTTATAACAGCCTTTTTTAACACAATTAAGGAATTTGAATTACTCACCTGGAAACTGCTGAAGAGCACAAATGTCACAAGATAAATCAAGCCTGTGAGATTGGCATCTCTCAGGGGCAGGGTGACTAGCTAGGGGCCATGAAGCCAACAGCCAAACTCAGCCTCCTCCCCTGCCCCGTTCCTGGTCTGAGGAGGTACGGGTGGTGGCCACATCCCAGGAGTGAATACTCAGCCAATGGATGGACCGTGGGAGAGGTGGGGAATTAAAAGGGAGGCATTAAATAAAAGCTCTAATTAGCTGCCGCCTGGGCTTGTCAGTGGGCTGGGCAGGGGGAGGGAAAGGAAGCCTCACCATCCTGTCCTCGTATCGATGCTTCTGCTAATCTCGAGGCACCTGTTTACATCCCTCAGCCACATTAGCTGCCTTTATTTATGGTTCCAGGGCCTGCGGCCAAGCTCCCAGAGGCAGGTGGTTAAACAGGGAGATGTGCACCCAAGCTGGTTCCCTCTTCTGCCAACCCTCCCTCCTCTCAAGACTGCTCTGAGTGGGGGAAAGCAGAGGAGGGGGTGGGGATGGGGTGCTCTGTCCTGCAGAAATCCCTGGCATGAAAGGACCTGTATGCGGTGACAGCCACTCCTGTCATGGTTCAGCTCTTCCGCAGCCCCCAGCCCTGCCCTGTGCGCCCTGCCCCTCACCGCTGTCTTGGCTTTGGCGATGTCATCAATCTGTAGGTGCAGGTCTTCCATCTCTACCTCCATTGCTTTCCGTGCTTTGACTGCTGCTGCACACGTGAACTCCGACTCTTCCAGCTGGACACAGAGTCACCCCCACCCAGGGGACAAACATCAGCCATGCTGTGCAGGACACTGGCTCACAAGGGAGGAATCCAGGCATTCTCCCTGTCCTCTGCCACCTCCTCCCAGTTCTTCATAAACGGCAGTCTAATAGCCATGGGTGTGCTGTGGTGCATACATTGTTCTCTCCTCCAGTGTGAACACCCTGTCCACATCACCCACGGGCCTGGCAGTCACGCTGTAGGGCATACACAGACCCTGCGGAATCTGGCTGCTATGGGCAGCTTCTGCCCCACATTCCAGCCATCTTCCCCTTGAAGGACTTAAGAGCCAGCAAGAGAAACGAGCAGTAGAGAAGATAACTGAATAAATAAATGAGCTTCCTGGTTGCCCCTGGAACCAGTGGAATTAACTGAGCACGGTACCTGGTTCTTCAGCTGGGCAATCTCCCGCTTGCTGGGGGCGTTGTTCTTTAAGTGGTCCAGCATGATCTGGGCATCTGCCAGCAGCGCCTTGGTGCGCTTCAGGTCTTTGCGCAACCTCTTTTCTGACTCAAAGTCCCGCTGGTTCACCTGGGGGGGACACCATTCCGGAAGGCAGTGAGCTCCACCAATGGACTTCCTTGAGTCCTTCCCATGCTGACTGCTAACCTTGCCAATCTTCACACTCTCCAAAATGAGCAAGGATGCTTCCCTCGGCATGTCAAGATCATGCTGGCTAATGAGAAAGGCCTGGGTGGTGGATGATGCCCTCATCAACCCCTGTGATTTGGTACCTGCTGTGGAGCAACTCCCCATGCCCGGCTCTCTGTCCTCAAGATCCCCAGTCTTAGGCTGGTAGGTCAGGTAGCTGTAGGGGTTCCCACGCACCTGGTCACTGAGTGTGGAGAGCTTGCTCTCCAGCTCCCGCTTCTCCCGCAGTGCCTTCTGCTTGTCTTCATACTCCTCCTCAAGCTGCACTTCCATCTGTTTTAGCTGAGGAGTCATGGGGACAGAGGCTCGTTGTTCTTAGTGTGCAGGGGCAATAGTCCCTTCTCATGCTTAGTGTCCCATCCCAGAACAACAGGGCAGGACTGAGTGAGTGCAGGTGCTGGAGGCGAACAGCAGGTCACAAGCAGCTTCTGCAGCCACAGTAGACTGCGTACTGAGTGAGGAGGATGGGGACTGTCCAGCTAGGCTGGCTGACCTCAGGCAACCCCAGGGAGGGGGGCACAAGAAAGGCTTCTCCTTGACACAGCTGGCGAGGAGCTATGACTTTTTTTTTTTTTTTTTGAATTACAAACAAGATTGAATTACATGACAATTGCAGTTCCCTTCTCCCTCCCTTCCTCCCCTACCACCCCCCCAACTAAAACCCTACCTATAGCATATCCTTTCTTCTAATCTACACCTGACTCCCTCATAACCTCTGCATCCTTCCTCTTCTTCCCTTCTCATTCTCTTAGCTCCCTCCCCCCTCTTCCCATGCTCTCAATTTGCTCAGGGGATCATGACCCTTTCCCCTGCTCCAGAGGACAAAGTTTGTCTCTCTTAGGGTCCTCCTTGTTTACTAGTTTCTCTGGCAGTGTGGATTGTAGGCTGGTAATCGGGAGCTATGGCTTTTTAAGGGCCCAAGCTTTTCTACAGACTGAGAGGCACAGCCTGAGTCAGGCCTGAGTCCTGAAAGGGGAAGTGCTGGTCCAGAATAGCAGTAGAATACAGGAGAATAATGTGGAGAAACAAAATCCTTCACTTGGAAGCAGTGGTAAAGAACACGCCCTTGCACCAGCCCAGGAAAAGCCCCAGAGGGCCCAGATGCCATACCTTCTTCTGGCATGACTGCCGGGCCTCCTCCACCTCCTCGTCACGACTCTCCATCTCCTTGGCATGGGTCTGTCTCATCCTCTCCATCTCCATCTCCAGACGCAGCTTGGCCTGTGGGTTGGGAGTCAGGACTGGGTTCCTTTCCCGACAAGGTCCTGTCTAAAGTACAGCTCTCCCATATTCGGGAGCACAGGCTGCCCCCATCACAGTTCTCTTCATGCTCAGGAGCCCAGGCCAACTCTATCACAGTTCTCTTTGCCTGCTCACTCTTTGCTCCAGCAAGCTGTGCCTCCATACCAAACACCTGGCCAATGCTCAGGAAGAGGCTGGTCGCTGGAGATGATCTTGAAACTTTCTCCCCCTGGGCAGGGTCCCCCTGAACTGACTTGGCTGTTTAGTCACATGCTCAGTTGGCTCCTGGCCCTCTGGTGGCATTATCTTCCCATTCTTTCCTCACTAGATCCAGTCCAGATCTGCTTTTGTGAAAAGCTCTATGACAACTTAACTATCTTCACAGTGTGGCTGGCACAGACCAGGCACTCACACAACATTGTATGAGTAGGTGAATGAGTGATTGGGAGAATGAATGAATGAATGAATGAATGAATGAATGAATGTGGGCCTTGCCCTTCCCTGCCAGTGCCCTGTGCTGATGGTGACACTGCACCCTGCTGCACCTCAGCCCTCCCCTGACTAGCCCTCTGGTACCTGCTCCAGCATCTGGATGCTCCCAGCCTGTTCATCCAGCTCCTCTTCCTGATCCTTGACCTTGGCCTCCAAGTCCCGGAGCTGCTTCTTGACCTTGGCCAGAGAAGCCTCATCCTTGGACTCTTGAGAAGAAATGTCCTGGAGCTCAGCCTCCAAGGAGACGACCTTCTGGGTAAACCCCGCAATGTCCATGTCTTTTTCCTAGAGCGAAGGGGAAGGTGAGGTTGGCACAGGGCTGTCCCCAGGCCGTGGGGGAGACGGAGGGTCAGCCCTGGTACCTCCAGCTGCTGCTTCAAGCCGAAAGCCTCAGCCAGGAGCATGTCCTTCTCCCGCTGAAGTTTCTCCCTCTGCAGCTTCTCCCGCTGGGTCTCCTCCTGTGCCTGGGAAAGCTCACTGTCAAACCTGTGTGGGAGCATAGTGGCCTCATCAGAGAAGGACAAAGTCTAGCTCTCCAGTGCCTAGCAAGCGCCAGGAAGCGGTGTCACAGATGGAGCAAGACACCAACAGGTTCGGGGCTTATCGGTCAGACTACTGAATGCTTCATCAAGTGGGCCTAAGAGGGTCCCACACACTGCTTCTTGGAAATAGGCAGGCCAAACCTTGCCTCAGGAGACACGTCTCCATTCTCCAACAGATCAAAGAATAAGGTGCCAGGGTGAGAGCAGAGAGGCATTGGAATGAGTAGAAATGACAGCTCACTCTATGAGCAACTCAGCAACTGCAGATACAGCTGCTGGCTTCTACCCTGCCTCTGGCATCTGCCTCCGGCCAGTACCACCCACCTCAGTAGTCCCAGAGTCACCACCAGGGCACCCCATGCTGGGCTGGGCAGCATTCCCACCAGGCCCGGCTGGCAATGTGCTCTAAGAGGCACTCAGGAGCCTCGTCCTCTACTCCTCCACTTGCCAGCCTTCCATTTCCTGCCCAGTGACTCTAAATCGGGAGCAAACTGCTGAAATCCCTCTTACCCCTTCCCTGCATAGCTAATCAGGTTCCTGCGGAGGAAACTGCACAGCACCCCACCCTATCCCACAGCAGAAAAAAGGAAGAAAACCCTGGGCAGCCAAAACCTAATAAGTGGCCCAGCAGGGAGCACAGAGACATGGTAACTAGGCCAAGCTGGCACTGTTGTCGGGTGCTCATGAAGGAGGGGTTCCTGTTAAGAGTGCCACCTTTAGGTAAAAAGACAGAGTGGGGTTAAAGAGCACGAGAAGGGAGCTGCCTGGCTGTTCTGGGAGGGACAAAAGACCTTGCAGACAGCCTTGTCCTCCTCAGAGCAACAGGAAGCAGTTAGCAAGGAAGGTGATGGGGAACTGGGGACGCACAAGGTAGGAAATTCATACTGGGAGGAGTGGGCTCTGTTCTGCCCCTCTCACCCCCAGGGTCCTGGGGTGAGGCTGCCCTTCACAAAGGTAACTGGAACCTTTCCTGATGCTGGCAGAGGGGAAACAGGCACTGTTCCCGCTCCCTGGGGCACCCCACTGTTCCCAGGGTGTGTGGACTCCTCACGCTGCTAATGAAGGCGTCCCATTCCCAGCCAGGGAAATTAATTTAGATTGGATTTTCTCCTGTGAGGGCTGCCCCCCTCCTTTGTGTCATTACCATAATGAGATGGAAGTGGCACGGTAGTTTAATGACATTAGTCAGGAGAGTGTGTTTGTGTAGTGGGGTAAGTGAAAGCGACTCGGGCAGAGGAGGGGGGCAGGGGCAGGGGCAGGGACCTAGTGGTTCTGGACTTGGCTAAAACATGTCCTTTTTGGTTTGGGACAGAAGACAGGTACACTTTGAGTGGAACACATGTGAGTAGAAGAGAGGCCTGAGATTTATGGCCTTCCAAGTAGACATGGCCTGAGTCCTCCTGGGAGATCAGAAGTGAGTCTGTTTCACATGCCAGCACGAATGGCCATGCAGGCCAGGCTCTGAGAGCACAAGACAGGACCACCCACCTCCTCTGCTTCTTCTCCAGCTCATGGTTTCGGACTTGCTGGCCCTCCAGGTGCAGCTTGGTGTCCTGCAGCTCAGCTGTGAGCCGCTGGCACTTCTTCTTGAGCTGCTGTAGTGCCCGCTGACTCTCGTCACTATCTGCTTGCAGGTCCCCAAGCTAGAGATGGAGAAAGGGTGGATGGTCAGCAGCCACCAAGAGTTCGGGGTAGAGGACAAGATCAGCCATCCTTTCAGAACCTAAGAGGTGATTCCCTAAGGGGAGTTCCTAGCTGTCCTTTCAGGACTGGCTAACACACCACTTCCCCTGTTCCTCTCAAGGTCTCAGTTCCCTGGCCAGCCTCACCCGCCTCTCCAGCTGCCTCCGACTCTGCTGCTCCACCTCCATCTTGTCTTCCAACTCTTGCTGGAGCCGCTTCTTGGTGAAGTCCACCTCCCGAACAGCACGCTCATACTTCAGCCGCCACTCTCCCCCTGCAGGGCCGAGGGGGCAGACAGCTCCATTCAGAGTTGTTGAGGGTCCCCAGGAAGGGGCAGGGGACAGAAGGAGAGGGGTAGGAAGGAGGAGTGGGTGGAGCCAGCCAGAAAGATGTAGGAGTATTTCTGAGATGATGGCTAGAAGGAACCACTATCAGGGGAAAGTCTAGAGAGGGTGACTGGGGGACCTGTGCTCTCTTCTTCCTGGAGGCCTCCGGGACCATGGCCCTGGTCATTACCATAGCAATTCAACCTATTTATTTTCAGCTCCTTGACATTGTGGTTCTGAGATTCTTGTTTGTTTGGTTTTTGAGACAAGATCTCCCGTATCCCAGGCTGTCCTTAGGTTTATGTCGTTGATGACCTTGAACTTTGGTCACCTGGGATTACAAGCATGTGTCACCATGCCTGGTTTTAGCAACTCTGCCTTCTCATCCATGTATTATATTTTCATATTAACATAGCTCACAGAAGGGAGACAAGCCTGGACAGGGTGTGTGTTTACCCAGGGCTTGCCATTCAGGCTTCCGCCTACCTCCTGCACGGCAGACCCACCTGCATCATCGCCATCCACTTCCCCGTTGATCTCTGCCGCCCGGATGAGCCGGGCCTCCATCACCTCCATTTCCATAACTTCCATTTGCTTCTTCAGTGCATCGTACTGGGTCTGAAGGAAACGGCTTGTAAGCCTTGCGAGTCTTCCCCTTGCCTGTCCTACCCAATGTCCTGAGCCACACAGGCCACACGCTTACCCCAGACAGACAGAGATGCCGAGCTAGCAGAGGAAGTGCCAAGTGGCTTTGGGGAAGCTGAGTGTGGCTGTGGCGTCACTAGCCTGCTGCCTTCACCCTGGCCCTGCTCTCACCTGTAGCTCCTTCATTTCCTTCTCAGCTCGAAGCCTCTCGGCTGTCTCGGCATCCAGCAGCTGGGAGGCGGACTCTCCTGTGTTCCGCTCATCTGTCAGCTCCGATGTCAGCTCTGAGATCTGGGGTTGGGGGAGGGGGGGTCACCAGTTGAAGTGACTGCCTCACTCAGCCAGAATGCCAGGGTTCATGGGTCAGGGCACTTTGGGACAGTGGGCCAGTCTGTCTGGTGACTGGAGTCACCCACCCGGGTCTCCAGCCGGTCACTGTTGAGCCGAAGCTCATTCCTTTCTTTCTCCACCTTCTCAAGCTTGCTGCGCAGTTGCTGGATCTCCTCCTGCAGGGAGGAAGGAGACAAGATGAGGCTCTGTGAGGGGTAGAGACCCCAGTTCTGTCCCCTGAGGACTCCTCAACAGGAGAGGCTCCCAGGATTCATGACCCCTAGACTCTCCTCCACAAACAGCGGATGCTACAATTTTATCCTAAGAAGCTACCGAGGGCCCATACAGCACTCCAGAGGGACATCTGCTTGGTGGGCATAGTTCAAAGACACCAGTTCTTTCAACTAATTCTAAGAGCACCTTAATCCAAGACAAGCCAGCAAGACCCTTGTATACATGGAGTCCCTCCCTGGACCGGCTGGCCCTGCTAGTCACGCACGTCTTTGTTGCGGATCTGTTCTTCTGACAGCTGAACTTGGATGAGGGGCCGCACAGTGGTGAAGAGCTTCCACCAGGGCCAGTCCTTCACCCCTTTGTTCTTCTTGATGTTCTTCTGCACACAGCGAATGGCCAGGTCCTGGATCTGCAGTTGGGGTTGTCACATGGCAGACTTTCAGTTCCCTGGGCCAAGCCATTTCCCACTGCCAGAGCAACCAGGACCCTTTTCATGCCCACCTTGGCTCCCACATTGCCCCACCCCTCAGAGGGTAGGCAGTCCTGGGAGCAGTGCATGGGACACTCGTGTCCCACCGTCATTAGGAATAATTTCATCTGCTTTATTTGCTGCCTGATTATTTCCAGCACCCTGGCCTAGCTGTGCTATAAAACCTAATCTTGCTGAAACACAAGAGGCGGCAGTGCTGGCTGTTTTATGGACTTGCTAATAAGAAAAGGAGTCGCTGACACAGCTCCTTAATCTTCATAGAGCAGCCCATGAACCACAGCCCACCTTTGCCTGGGCCCGGCCTCCCCCCTCCACCCCCTCCTGGCCAGGGTGCCTGTCCACACTGCTGGGCACTCAAGCATGGTTCCCGCCCTGGCCCAGGCACGGTGCTCTTGGGAGGTTCCCACCTCCTTCTCAGATGATGGTAACTGCTTGACCTCCCTAGCATGTATTCTACACGCCCTCCCGCTGGTCCTCTGCAATGCCATCTAGGCTGGGATGTCCCTGGAGCAGCACCTTTCTCTTCTTGAAATGCTGGCGCGAGAGGTAGCCCCTGCAGGCCGCTTGGAACAGGGTCAGGTGCCTGCTGGTTTGCTCATCTCGCTGCTCTTCCAGCCGTGCCAACGTGCCTGCCCGGAAGAACACCTATCGGAGAAGAAGCCTGGTAAAAGCTGGAGACTGGGCTGGGGCAGCAAAGAAAGACAAGAGGAGGTGCCAGAGGGACAGGCAGCTGGCACAGGGAACCAGCAGGCTAAGGAGTGTGGACCCCGGTTCAGGAAGAGCCTGAAAATCCACTTGCCCAAGAGCAGAGGGGAGGTGCCCTAGCAGGGCCAATGGGGAAGGGCCAGGTCCAGGTGGAAGGCTCTGGGTCTGGAGGAGTGAGATGGGAAGTCTAACTTCAAAGGAGAAAGGACAGCAGCACAGGGGCAGAGAAGAAACCTGGGGCCAAGGGGAACAGGAAGCTCTCACTGGCCAAACAAGGAGGGGGGCCCTTCAGCTATAGCCCTGATCACTACACCCAGTGCCTGGCCCTCGGCAGCGCCCTAGCACAGCTCCAGCCACTTGGGCTCAGGTGTGTCTGGGTGTAAGAAGATCTAAGAAGCTGCATATGGGGGAAGACCAGAGTGGGGGTGAGGCTTCTGCCCTCCTACCCTCCTGCTCAGCTTCATTCCAGCCACCTCCTCTTTCATGTCAGCGCCCCACCCCTACCCCCACGTTTCAGTTTCACACTCTCATGAAGAAGCTGGTGAGGTGAGGTGGGTGTGAATCCAGGACCTGTCATACAGGTTTGGGGGCTGGAAGACAACTGTGTGGGGAACCTGCTGGGTACCCGACACCCAGCTGTTCCTCTCAAGCTTGCTGCCCTGTGTTGGCCTTGTAAGAGACAAGGAGCAGGTGATGATGACTCCGGTGTCCTTGAGAAGCAACAGGGGTACAAGGTACATAGCTACTCTCACCTGGTACAGGACCAGTGAGATGGCTAAGCGGCCAAGCTGAGTTTGATCCTCAAGATGCACATGGCAGGAGGAAGTAACTGACTACCTCAGGTTGTCCTGACCACCACATGCATACTGTGGCACGCACACATCCACAAATAAAGAAACAAATAATAAATAGATAAATGTAACTTATCCGTATAAAGAAAGACAGTCTGGAGAGATGGCTAAGCAGTTAAGAACACTACCTGCTCATCAGGAAGACCTGAATTTGGTTTGAAGTACCCGTATCAGCAAAATTGCTGTAACTCCAGTGCCAGGGGATCTGATGCCATTTTCTGACCTCTGTGAGCACCATTATACACATGGCATACACACACATGCATACACACATATAAGCAATAGATCTTAAGAAAGAAAATGAAATTCCTTTTTGTGGGACAGAGATGGGAAATCAAGAACAACACGGGTAATAAGTCCTTATAGGGGAAGGGTCCCAGAGTCCCCTCCAGGGAAGGAGTAGGGAGAGAGCCTAAACCCAATGAGAATGTTGCATCTGGTGACTTCACACAAGCCTCATCCTCTGAGACTAGCTTTGGAAAAAAAGCCAGCTCAGTCCTTGTGATATTGCCTCAAATCCTACAAACTGGCAAAGTGGGACTTTCCATGTATCTTAAGTCTGACTCACACCTCAGTTTCCGGTAATATATGAACCACTAAGAGAAGGGATAGCTAATTTGTTCCTCGGTCAAGAAAACATGCTTGGTTAGCAAACAGGGAAGCGGGGGAGTATTGGCACAGAAAGAAAGAACAGCTCAGAAACACAATTAAAAAGAATGGTCTAGGCCAGGGAGTAGTGGCACCTGCCTTTAATCCCAGCACTCAGGAGGCAGAGGCAGGCAGATCTCTGAGTTCCAGGCCAGCCTGGTCTTCAGAGTGAGTTCCAGGACAGCCAAGGACTACACAGAGAAACCCTGTCTCCAAAAGCCACACACACACACACACACACACACACACACACACACACACACACACACACACACACGAATGGTCTAAAGGCTACAGATGCAAGCCTCAAACCCCTTGAACATTTGTGGATTTGAGTCATTTGAGGGGACCTAAGGAGATGGCTCACCCTGCTAAATGCCTGTTACACAAGCAAAAGGACCTGAGCTCAGATCCCCAGCACCCACATAAAAGCCAGGTGTGGTCTGATTTGTCTGTAACCCTGGTATTGGAGACTGGGGAGGGGGCAGATAGAGTAGGATCCTGTAGCTTGCTGGCTAGCTAATCTAGCTAGTCAGTGAGTTCCTAACTCAGTAAGAAACCCTGTCTCAAAAAATCAAGATGGAGGGGTCTGATGAGGTAGCTCAGTGAGTTAAGTCACTTGCCATTAAACCTGAGGACCTGAGTTTGAGCCACATGGTAGAAGGGAATAACAAACTTTTATAAGGTGTTCTCTAATACAAGGGTGCTCATACATACCCACAGCTCTACTCTCTCAATAAATAAATAAATAAATAAATAAATAAATAAATAAATGTAACAAAAATAATTAATAACGATAAATAAAGCAGAGAACAATGGAGGAAGACACCAGATTCATTCCCTGGCTTCTATTCAACAGCATCCACTACAAGCACACATGTGTGAACACACATTTACACACATACAGAAAAAAAAATTCTGATCCCTTTGAGTATTAGGTAGAAGACTATGGTCATTGCTTCCTCAAGAACCCATTAATGCAAATTTTACAGGAGGCTCTCAGACTCCCAGAGACTTTGCCTGACCTTTCAGGGCCCAGTGGCCTCTAATGGGGCTCCTCCACTGAAGCATTATAAGCATCCAGTCCGTGCTCACCAGGCAGTGAGTAAGTACAGCCGGAAAGCTAAATCTTTTTGTCTCAAAGCAAACACCTAACCTTGCCCCCTTTCCCCCTGAGGACCAGTTGGCCCGGTGGCTCACCTGCCTCAGCTTGGCACCTGGGAAGAATCAGGACAGCCGAGGGTCTAAGATGTGGCCAGAAGAAGACCAACCTGTACAGGCCTGTTCCTGCCTGAGATGTGTCTGGGAACCTGGGAACTGGCTTGGAGGAGTGCCACTCCCAGTACCAGCCAGCAGTGGTCCAGCCTGCTAGAGGGGTAGGAGCTTACAGAGAAGCCTGGGTGTGAACTAACCTGAGAGACACTGAACAGCTAAAGGAATGGTTTTGACTGCAGGCAGCCCAGCTGGCTGCTTCGGAGTCTCAGAAAGGGTGTGTGTGTGTGTGTGTGTGTGTGTGTGTGTGTAAGGTGACCAGAGAGAAAGGAGGGGAGCCAGATATCATAGACAAAGCAGAGACCAGAGCAGAAAAATGACACCAAAGGGGTGGGAATAAATACAGAATAAGGAGAAAAAGGAAAAGCAATATAACCAGGGCAGGACCAGAAAGCAATATAACAGGGCAGAAGGGACTCTGAGGGCCCAGTGGAAAATGATAAATCCAAGGACACAGAAACTGAAATGAGAAGACACAGTGAGGGGAGGGTCAGGAAAAATTGAGACCTTGACTCAACCTGCAGACTACAGGACACAGGACAAGTAGCTTGTATGTATGCCTCTCCCTCCACCTCACCCTGTGCAAGAGGCTTTGCTTTGTTTTCGTTTTTGTTTATTTTTCGAGACAGGGTTTCTCTGTGTAGCTTTGGAGCCTATCCTGGCACTCGCTCTGGAGAGCGAGCTGGCCTCGAACTCACAGAGACCCGCCTGCCTCTGCCTCCCAAGTGCTGGGATTAAAGGCGTGCGCCACCAACGCCTGGCGCAAGAGGCTTTGTGATCAGAGTTCCTTTCCTCTTTGCTGACAGAGGAACACTTCCATGACTCTTTATCTGGCTGCCTCCTGCCCTTCTCCACGCCAGTTCACCAGAGCACATTTGAGCACAGCCTATCCAAGCTTTTTTTTTTTTTTTTTTTTTCTGGTAGAGAGGTAGGCAGGGCTCCCTGCCAAAAGGAAGACTGTTCCTGACCCTTTAGTATGGAACCAGGGCCAGGTATGCCTGCCTTTATGCTACATGTTCCATTTAGATGAGGAATTTGGCCTGTGGACAGGTAGTGGTGGCCCTGCTTACCATGTCCTTGCTTGTTCTTCTGGTAGCACTCTGGAGCTTTCTTCCTACCTCTGGCTTTTCCCAGCCCCCTCCCTCCAAGCCCAGCCCTTCTGTCTCTCACTCACTCCCCACATGGGCCAAGTTCAGGGCCATGCTCCAACCCACTCAGTTCTGACATCACAGAGGTTTCACACTCCTGAACCAGTCAGCTATCCTGGCGAGAATGTAAAGTTTGCTGGAACTGGACCATCTGTACCCTGGCTTCTGGCTGAAGAAAAGGTGGCTCCTGAGTATGGAGCTAGGGAATGAGACTCAGAAGGGACACAGGGAGATTTCAAAGTCTGACTGAGCAGCAGAATGGGGAGGGAGGGCCAGCCATCCGGCTAGGGTCACCAGGAAGCAAACACCTGGCTGCCCACCTGTGGGCCACTTACCCGACTCAGGCCCATGCAGCAGCTGCTCTTTTCCAGGTCTAGCGACTCCAGCAGTTCTTCCACAGCCTGAGGAGAGAAAGGCTGCCATCAGATCCTCACAGGCTCTCCCCATCTCCATTCACTGGGCCCTCTCTGGGTCCCTCCTAGAAAGCCCATCGTTTCTTCCACAAGCCCCTCAGGTAAGTTTCGGCAGTGCCAGCCACTATGTCCACTCTGGGGACCAGAGGTAACTAGAAGAGGAACAGATTGTGTTGCTGGAGAACAAGATAAGTGGGAGGCAAGACAAGCAAAGTACATAAAAAAGGCACGGGACAGTTGGGAGGGGCTGTGAAGGACCCCAGAGGAGGACTGCTTGGTCTGAGAATTTAACTACCAGTTATGCCACCAACTTGAGCAAAGGCCTGGGATCACAAGAGGAGAGTACATGTTTTGAGAGGGAGGGGCGAGAATTAAAGTGCAGCCAAGGTGTGGGAAGCCCTGTGTGCCTGGGAACTCCTCGTAGTTTTCTCAGGAAGGGGCAGAGCCAGATCTGAAGAGGTCACCCACAAAAGCGGGGAGTATGTGAAGAAGAAAGGCTTGAGAGGCAAGAGCATGAGTGGTCTGAACGTGCTCAGTGTGGGGTAAAAGGACACAGAAATCCAGAGGCAGCAAGAGAAGTGTATGCTTGGAGTGCAGGAGAAAGATCTGGCTGAGGTATTGATCCGGGTCAATCAGTGTATATGTGGTAATTGAAGTGATGGGTTTGAATGAGGTTGTCCAGGAAGAGAGACTAGAATAAAAAATGGATAGAGTATTGAAGAATGCAGTCTTTACTGACGCAGTGAGTGGAAGCAGGAACCTTTAGAGGGACCGAGGAGAGCAGGGACAAAGGGAACTGCACAGTGGCAAAGGAGGCAAGCAGGAAACATTCCAAAACATCAGAGCTGTCAGTAAAGTCACATATCAGGAACTCCAGGGACAGCCAAGTGGGTGGCACACACATTTATTTACTCCTGGTACTTGGGAGGTAGAGGCAGATGGATCTCTGTGAATTCTAGGCTAACCTGATCTACATAGTGAGTTCCAGGAGACTCGGGACTACATAGTGAGACCCTGCCTCAAAAAAAAAAAAAAAAAAAAAAAAAAAGTACAACTGAAGAGGTGGCTCAGCAGTTGAGAGCACTGACTGTTCTTCCAGAGGACCTGGGCTCCATTCCCAGCACCCACATGGCAGCTCACAACCGTCTGTAACTCCAGTTCCAGGCCAGAAGATCTTATGCCCTCTTCTGGCCTCCATGGGCACCTAGCATGCAAATTGTGCACATACATCCATGCAGGCAAAACAAATACATAAAAATAAATGAATAATTTTTTTAAAAAAATTCAAGGAACAGAGGATAGAAAAATGCCCAGTGGCTCTGGCAACATTGCGGTAACAGGGAGCCTGAGGCCAGTGCGCAGGGGAGGAGGTCTCCTCTATTCAAGGAGCCTTTTGGCTGCCTGAGGAGTTGCCTCTAGGGGTCAAGGAGGCAGTGTAAAGTGATAATGGTACTTCTGCAATCAAGAGTTCACTGTTCTTGATTGTAAGAGGCCCAAAGACTTATAAGCTCTGGGCACCAAAGTAGACTTGCCGTCAGCCTCCTCCTAGGAAGGATGCTCGCCCAGCTCCAGATAGCTTCCTACTTCAGGAACCAGATCCTACCATGGAAGCCATGGCTGAAGGACCATCAGTGAGATACCCAAAACAATAAATCCTAGTCATCTACTTGGAAGGCTCTGGCATGTTTATTCAGTGTGACTGTCTGGCTTCCTAAAGCACAGATGCCCAAATCTTTGGCCTCCGATAACAGTGGTTCCTCCCCAGTCCCTGCAGCTCATGCCCTGAGCCACCTTCACACTGCCACAGTGTTGTGTCTCTGTCCTAACCCTGGCCGGCTGGAACTCTATAACCTTGAGCAAGAGCCAGCCTGCAGTGTCTAGGAAATATAGGCAGAGGACTCCGAGTGAGTGAGGGGACTGCAAGGATCCTAGAGACCAAAACCTACCCGCTTCTCATCCATCACTATATAGTTGCGCCCATGTTTCTTGGTCAGGTGTGGAGCCAGGACATCAAAGCGACGGCGGAACTCAGAAAATACCATGTGGTCTGGGTAACCTGGAGAGAGAACCAGAACCAGATCCATCAACACCTTGCTTGACTACATGAGGGGGGTGGGACAGGGAGGTCCAGAAAGGACAGACCATCAGAGCTATTCCACAATAGGATATGAAGGCTTTCACTCAGGGTGTGGCCCCAGGTTCCATTCCCAATATCACAAAATATATATTAATTATATATATATATATATAATAATATATATATATTAATTTATTTTGTATATATATATTATATATATATATGGAGAGAGAGAGAGAGAGAGAGAGAGAGAGAGAGAGAGGGAGACCGGGGCTTAGAAGTTCCTTTGTGGTCAAGGTCACATGGCTATAAGGAGCTGGGTCTAGATTCCAGGCCAGCTCCCACATCTTTCATTAGCTATACTCTGACGTCCTATTGTTTTTCTTTATTGAGTCTTCAGGGTTTCAGTCTCTGCATTATCAGAATCATGCACTTGGGAGGGTAGAAATCATCCTAGAAGTTATCTAGACCTCCCTAGATAGGGATTGATATCCCCCTATCAACCATCCTCTCTGATCTTCATTTGGAAGCCTTAATGAGTGGGGGCTCCCTTTTCTATCATGAGCTAAAGAACACTCCAGGCCCATCTTTGCCTTAAACAGGGACCCTGGACCTTATTCCATATGGTAGTCATGGAGACAAAGTCAGAAAATATATATTGAGCACAGCTTGGCTCACTTGGTGAACACTCAGAGAAATGGGATTTCCCGTCTCCTGTCTCCTGAAGCAGGGTTACAGAAAGAACTCCCTCTTTGTCCTACTGTGACCTTGAGTTTAAAGCTAAATGACCAAAAACCCTGAAATTCTCTTTTCCTAAAATGTGTCTGGGCTTGAGGTCAAGGGAAGGGTGAGATGGCTTCTGGCTTGGAACAAGGTCAGAACAGTGGATAGCAGGAAGTGACCCCAATTGTACCGATCTCACCAGGGCCCACAGAGGGGGGCTGAAAGGTCTGCTCCTCTAGACTGTAACATTTCAAGCCAGAAAGGGATCCCAAACAGAGCTGCTTCAGCTTTCAGCCAAGGAACCTGAGGCCTGAGACTGGAGCCATTGGGTTGCCCGAGGTCCCAGTGGCTGTGGTCAGAGGCAGAAGTGGAGTTCACACCTGGGCTGCTGACAGCCAGCTGGGGGCTTACTCTGGCCAGCAGCTCTGGGAAATCCTCCAACTGGGAGACGAGGGCTGATGCATGTGCCTGATAATTGAAACAGGAGGCGGGGGCTGCTGAGGGGCCAAGACAAAGTGAGCTATTGATTGTATCTGAATTGCAATTAAATTGATGGGCCAGGATAGCAGTCTGGACGCCTGGCATCTTAATTAATCATCAGCGCTATCGATGGTGGCTGGGGGCCGGGGAAGGGGGAGGCTGCTGCCGTTGGCCTCATCGATCTGCTTGTTTGAGTAAAGCACATTGATTTTGGTTCAGAGCGGTAACAATCTGGTTTTGAAATAATAAACACCAACTCCATATCAAGACATGGGGACAGATCGATGATTTATTTAGAACAGGGTAGGGAGCCTGCTTCCTGGCTGAGGAAAAGCGAGGGTATCCATGGGAATACCTCAAGGGGACTCATCTGCAGGTGGGTAGGACCCAACCTGCACTTCTATTTGGGGGGCGGGGAACAGAGCAGAAACCTGGCAATTCCTAACTTCTCAGCTCGAGAGGCCTGATGAGCCAGCCTGGCTGGAATCCAGCTCCGCCACTGGGTGACCCTGGGCATGCTCCTTAGCCTCTGCGAGCCTTCCTCCTTATTTAGGGGTGTTAATAGGTACCACCTCATGAGGATGCTGTGAATTAAAGTGTGTAAGAGCTGGGAATAGCACCTGGTGAGTCATAAATACTGTATGGATGACAACTGCTACTACTGTCATCCTTGTCCCCTCCTGAAGCTGGGTCCATTAAAGGGATCTATCTGACCTTTCTTGGGAATTTTAAGTACTTCCAAGAGATTTAGCACCTGCTTTCCCCGTGGGTAGATGGTGCTGAAAGGGCACTGAGTCTTCTGTCTGCTACTACGGGCTGAGTTGACCCGCCCACACTAGGGATGATGGGCAAGAGGAGTCATGAGAACAAATGTTTGGGATGGTCTGTCTGTGTGTGCGCACGCGCACACACGTGTCTGCACGGGCGTGGTGTGTGCCTGTGTGCAACTGTAGGACTTGAATGAGAAAGGGAGAGGGGGAGGAGAAGAATCCCAAAGTAGAAAGGAATAAAGCAAAGGGGAGCTGGGAACAATGAGAAGAAAGGACCTTCAGAAGAAAGGGACCTCAAGCCAGTCCCTAGACAGGACAGCGGCAGGATGGGATCTGGCAGCTCCAGAAAGAGCGCCAGAACTTGGTGGAGAGGGAAGGTGCCCTCACCTTGGCGGTACATGCGCATTGCGTCAAGCAGGCGGGATCCCCGAAGCTGGGCTCGGAGGAGGGACACATCCAGCTGCAGCAGCCCAGCCTCACAGGGGTCTCCAGGGGGCAGGTCCAGCTCACTGCTGCTGCTAACTCGGCGGGAAGAGGCAGATCGGGGTTCCCCAGGCCAGCCCTCAGCCACAGGCAGGAAGCAGTGCACAAAGTGCATCTTGGACCTCTTGATGGTGTCAATGAGGGCATCCTGCCAAAGGGAAAGGGACCGACCTCAGTGCTCTGATATCTAGCATCTCCATTCTTCATGGGGTAGCTGCTGGTCTGCCACCTGTTAGGACACTGCTAAGCCTGGACATCTCTGCCCTCCTCCAGCCTGGCTGGCCAGTCATAGTAGCAGCACCAAAAAAGGCAACCCCACTAGCAGTGATCAAAACAGGTGGATCTGGGTGGGCACTGATGCCATGAGGGCAGTGAGTGCCTAACTGCCAGGAGAAAGAGACCTGGGGCTTTGCAGAACACTCACCACTTGCAGCTTAATCTGTATGCACAGTGACTTCTTCTTGACAGCTGCCATGCCAGTGGTAAAGGTTTTCCTCATGCTAGTCGCCCGGCGCAAGGCCAGCTGGGAGCCGCCCTCCAGGCCCGCAATAGAACCTGAGAGCACTGTGGCACTGCCTGCCCGGCCTAGAAACAAGTTGCTGATGATCTTTCTGCAGGGGGAGGCAAGGCCAGAAAAGGAGTTAGAGCACGGGACAATAGAAGCTGTATACCCTCCATCCCCCACCCCTCCACACACAATATGGCTGTGGCCAGGGGCCTGGGCCATCTTTGCTGGGGCAGTATGTCCTATATCCTACAGCAAAACTAGAAGAAGAAAAAACCCAAGATAGACAGAGGTCATGCAGGCAAGGATTGGGCAGTGGGGGCAACCCAGTGAGGGCAGAAGACAGTGTTCCTAATATTAGAGCTCAACACACTATATAATTAATCTATGTGTTTCATCTCTTGTTCATTACTTCTCTTCCACTAAAATGCAAACTCCATAGGGCAGGGGTGTGTGCTGCCTTCATTGCTATCTGTCTAGCAATGTCCCTGTCTACAGAGGAAGCATCAACTAACCTATGGCATAAATGAATGTATGATGGAGCTTATGTGATTTCTGGATTTTAAAATAATCTTTTTAGTTTTTAAATTTTGTTGAGGGGTCTGAAGAGATAGCTCAGCAGTTCCAAGTGCTGACTGATCTTGCAGAGGACCCCAGTTCAGTTCCCAACACCCATGTTAGATGGCTCACAACCACCTATAACATCAGCTCTGGGGGCATCTGATGCCCTCTTCTGGCCTCCACAGGTACCCAATATACACATAATTTAAAAAAATAAAATCTTGGCTGGCGGTGGTGGTGCCCACCTTTAATCCCAGCACTTGGGAGGCAGAAGCAGGTGGATCTATATGAGTTTGAGGCCAGACTGGTCTACAGAGCAAGTGCCAGGACAGGCTCCAAAGCTACAGAGAGAAACCCTATCTTGAAAAATAAAAAATAAATAAATAAATAAAATGTAGCCAAGGATGAACTTGAACTTCTGACTCCCTTGTTTCTAATTTCTGAGTGCTGAGGTTATAGGTGTGTGCCACCAAGTTTGCTTTGCTGACTGTAGTGTTTCTGCTTTCTCTAAAGAGAATGAGGGAGCTGTTCAAACTGTTAGAAACTACAGGCATCTCTAACCGTATGTCTTCCATCTCTATTTCTGCATGTGATTCCTGTGTCTCCAAGGCCACACGGCCTTGACTGTGGTCTCTCAGGGACTGGGGGCTTATCTGCCTCGCTGGTGATGGGCCCCTTATGTGTCACCAGAGGAAGGGAGCCCAGAGAACAGCTGTAGGGAGAAGATAGGAGATGGCCTTACTTCTGAGAATCCTGCAGGAGCCGGGGGGCATTTTGGGTAGCTGGGTTCTGCTTGGTGTAGTTCAGCCAGCCAGTCACATTGTACTCCACCCAGTTGGTACCATGGCTGTGGCCCAGGAGAAAGTGCCGGGGTTTGCTGCTGCGCAGGAGAGGGCTCTGGCCTGAGGGTATGTGAAGTAAAGTTCAGATCATCAGGGCACAGACATAGACATACAGATAGAGAGTGCCAACGCAGAAGGACTGTCCTCCAGGCACCACCATCTACCTTTTTTGTCTCCTTCCTGGGGGCCGTAATAGGAGAAAAGACGGTCGAGGAGAGCATCCTCGGTGGCACCTGGCACCAGCGCCTCCTCTTCCAGCAGCCATAGTAGCCCCCTTGCCTCATCAGCATGGGCCAGTGAGCGGACCTGTGGACAAGGGGAAAGATCCAGCTTAGCCACATGGAGCTGTGCAAAGGAACTGCTCCTTCCCAACAGTACACCATTAACAGCTATAATCACACTCAACAGCATGGCTCTGGCTGCTCACTGCTGACACCACTGACACCTTGTGGAAGAGATGGGCATAGAAGGGAAACTAGCTGAGAAAAAAATTCTAAGAATTCACTATAAAAGGTTGCGGGGATTTGGGGTCCAAAGATACCCAAGACTGAAGCTTCTTCTGACCTACACCCACATTCAGAGCTTTTCCTTAATCCTTACCCCCTCAGAGGGCACAGGAACAAGGCCAGCTGCATACTGCCCTCACTTCCCAGCAGATTCTGCAGGACAAAGTCCATGCACAGCAAAAGCTCAAAGGAGGCTTTCTCTGTTTATTTTGAAATGGGGTCTGACTTTGTGGACACGTTGGCCTCATACCCATGGAGATCAATCTGACTCTACCTCCAGAGTAGAGTCAGAGCTTCAAAGAGGGCTCTTAATAAACGATGGCTGAGGAGTTAGAATTGGTCTCCATGGGGAGAACCCAGAAAGGGGACAACCCAGAAAGTGCCCAGATCGCTGCTGGCTATAAACTCAAGGACCAAAACCCTGAGGCAGGTGACTCTTGATAGAGGTAGTGACTAGCAGAAGCAGAATGGGGGGAAAGCAGGGTGTGTCCCCACCTGAAGGGAATGACCGGAAAAACACAACTAGTGAGTGTTAGTAAATATTCTCTATCTCTGTCTCTTGTCTCTTCTGTCTGTCTGTCTGTCTGTCTGTCTGTCTGTCTGTCTGTCTCTGTGTGTGTGTGTGTGTGTGTGTGTGTGTGTGTGTGTGTGCGCGCGCGCGTGTGTGTGTGTGTGCATACGTGCATATGTGTGCACATGCATGCAGAGACCAGAAGTTAATGATGGGTGTCTTCCTCAACTTGTCTCTACCGTACATTCTGAGACAGGGTCTCTTGCTTGAACTTACCAATTTGCCTATTCTAGCTTGCTCTAGGGATCCCCATCTTTGCCTCTTGGGTGAATTCCAATCCTCATACTTACCCAGCAAGAGCTTTACCCAGAAAACTACTGCCAAGCCTCTAAGCCTCTGGTTTTTCAAGAGAAGGTGGAATTCTGCTTTCTAATACCCCATGAAGACTTAATAAACTAGGCCTGTGGCTACATCTGGCCTGAAGGTGCCTGTGTGTGTGCGTGTGTGTGCGAGTGTGTGTGTGTGTGTGTGCGTGTGTGTGTGTGTGTGTGTGTGTGTGTGTGTGTGTGTGTGTGTGTGTATCTCCCTTGTCTTCTTTAGAACTTTCCACACCCCATTCTTGCTTGGCTTTTAGGGGCCTGGCAGACAAGAAAAATAAGAAAAGTGCTGTTTTCCCTCTCTTTCATCTACTGCCTATATCTTCTCCCCATAGGAGTGGTTATGACTCCTAGAAGGCCAAGGGCCAATGGGAGGTGACAGTATTCAGTAGCTAGAGATGAACAGCAGGAAGGAGTGACATGGTAAGTGGCATGGGAGACCCCCCTCCCCAGAGCCATCAAACAGCAGAAACCTAAGAGCAAGGATGACTGATCTGCAGCCTAACGCACGTCTGCCCCCTGGTGCTCATGGGACACAAGGACAACTTTCTTCCATCTAAAGATGGCAAAGGCTCTGCAGAGAGGCCACCAAGGGAGCCAGGTGTCAGCAACAGGAAATCCATCTTCCCTCGGGAGCCTGTTGGGGCTTTAAGCATTTGTGCCCATGCCTGTGCTAGCCCAGTAGAGCCTCCCTACAAGGCAACAGAAAGAGCCTAGAGGAAGGAACCTCACCGAACAAGAACTCTGCTGCCCAGCATAAATCTCTCTCCAAAAAAACCCCACAGGCTGTGAATCACCAAACTGAAGACAATCAGAAAACGCCAAGTGCTCATTAGGCCAGCCAGTGCCCCAGGCAACAGGGTATCCAAGATACTATCATAAAGGTGACAACTTGTTCCCAAGGTTGAGGAGTGAAGGCTAGCTAGCATCCTTGTCTGCCCTCTTGGGACATTTTAGATCTGACACTGTTTCCCTGATTGAGGGTGCCGCTGCTTCCTCATCCAGGCCCTGGTGGACTGTGGGAAGGAATGACTATATCCTCTGGATTTGGATTCTCACGTCCACCCCACAGCGGCAGATCAGGGCTTGGGGCAGATACACTGAGGGCTCAGTCAGGCTCAGGACAGGGTCCCTTCTCTGAAGGGACATTTTCTTGTGTGGCTGGGACTCTGGATTATGGTTCCCCACTCATGAGGCAGAGGAGTGTGTCACCTTCCCAGAGAGACTGAGTGCCCTGTAGTCGTGCTGTGACATGTGGGTGTGACCCTTCCTCAGCCCATAGTGGCAACTCCAGCAAGCAGCTCAGCTGGGAGGGCTCTGCCAGAGGCAGATGAGTGGGAAAGAGTTGAGGCTAGTCCGGGCTTCCCTGGAATTCCTACCAGGGACTGGTGGGAAGCTTGGTCCACAGCAGCCACCGAGTCATCTGTGGCCGGCTCCAAGTCATCAAATGCCAGTTCGATGTTCTCCTAGGAAGGAAGGTGGAACAGTGATACTCAAGGGACCACAGAGAGTATACAGTCACAGGAGCAGACTAGGCAGGGCCTCTGGGACAATCCAATGGCTCATCTCCATGTAGGAGCCCCCTAAACTACCCCAAAGGACAACCTGCTCACTGCCTCCCAAGATAACACTCAGTATTTTTTGACAGCTAAAATTCTCATAATCTCTTTTTAGACTAAACCACAGTTGCACCCTGGTGTTATTTGCAGCAGTTGATTAGGCAATGTAGAGTAAGACCTCTCTCCATTTCACACAATCAACTTTAGAATGCATGAAGACAAAGTCACGTCCCTCCCTCTGGGGGCTTCTTTTAATCTAGACAAATACCCTCTCTCTACAGGAGGAAGAAATTCCAGAACTCAACCCATCCCAGAGACCTCTTCAGGAGGAACTTAGCCAGCATCTAAGCCTTAGATTCTAAGAGCCCACCTTGAGGCAGAAACTGCACTGTAGTAATTCACAGACTGAAAGGGGGGTGGGCCATAAAGAGGAAAGAAAAGGGAGACCTCTAAATGTGCCTTCAGCTTCCTGGAGCACAGGCTGTCCACAAAGAAAGGTCACAGCCAAGGTCCAGGAAAAATTATTGCTCCAGAAAAAAGGGAGGGCAGAAATGAGTGGGGGGGATAGAGAGCTGGGAATTAGTGTTGCACATGTACAGATGCCCTGGCCAAAAGGTGAGGCCGAGTTGGGTTTGCGCAGCTACCTACCTCCTTGTATCTTTCCAACTCCTGGAGGAAGGTGCGCTCATGGAACAGCCTCTGCAGCCTGTCTTGGGCATAGTTGTGACACAGCTCCTCGAAGGAGGCTCCACGGGCTGACCCACCCCGCTCAGGGTTCTGGAAGCCTGGTGTATCCACAATCATCATGGAACAGAGCGAGTGCTGGCTGGACTTGAGAGCCCTTAGCGGGAAGAGTCTGAGTCAGAGCTGGATGGGGCATTACCATACACTGGGCCTCGCTGCTCTGCCCCTGGCATGCGGCCAACCTCTCCCCCTGCCCAGGGCCCCTTACCTGGCTTACAGGGACAGTGAGTTTCTGATGGTGGAGGAATGCCCTGCCTAAGTCACCACATAAGCATCCCCATTTTTACTAAAGCAGAAAGTGGGGCACCTCTGGTTTCCATTTGACACTTACCTGTTTACCAGAGAGATGAGGAGGGTAAAGAGCTCACTGTAGAGGCCGGATGCCATGCCCTCTAAGCACTCCATAGCACTCAGTTTGGGGCCTGTGGAGCAAGAGGAGCAGCTGTAGCTTCAGTCCTTAGGGCCACCCCCACCTGCCCAGGAATGTTCTCCACCCACATCGTCAGCTGTCCTGGGGCTCTCCCACTGGAAACATTTATTCGCTCAAGTCGTCCCTCCCACCTGCAGGACGGTGACAAGGCCCAGGCAAGGCCTTCCAATCCTACTCATCAGCCAAGCAGCCCCAGGTACCTGTGCCCTCTCCCAGGCCGCTCTCCTCGGGGCCCTGACGGAAGGAGGTGGATCGCTGCAGGGTACCACCTTTAAGTTGATGCTTAAAGATAGCTGAGGACAGCTCTTCCAGACTGCAGCCCAGCAGATATGCAGCTTTCTGGGCCCATTCGTGGCGGGCAAACTGCTTACGTCCAGCTGTGGGGTAGAGGTTTAAACAAACAAACAAAAAGATCTAGCATCTTAGGTCCTCCTTAGGACAACTGAAAACCATTGTGACTTTTGGCACCCTCGACCCACAGGATGGGGGGTTGGCATCTTCCTGATAACACTACTTGAGCTTGACATGGGAACAGAACAGCCAGCAGCTGCCAGCTCTTCCAGAGTCCTAAAAGAGGCACTAACTTCACTGCTGCCACTAGAGGGCACACAATCAGTTGCAAAATCCCTTTAATCCAGGAGTGTACAGCTTGAGTCGGATGGATGAGGACAGGGTCAGAGGATGAGGAGGCCCACCCAGCAGGAGCACTAGAGCCATGTGTGCCTGCAGGGTTTAGCAAGAGAGAGCAACTGCACTTGTCCCTTCCCCGGATACATTAAGACACCCCCCCCCCTTGCCCTAAGGGAGACCATAGACACCTTAATGGCTCAACAGTGGAGAGGCAACTGAGCCGCAGGGGAAAGGGAACAGACATATGCGCCTGAGCCAACATGAGCCTAATCACAGCAATTAGGGAAAGCTAACAAGAAACAAGGTTTTTTACCTTCAGCAGCTTCTGTAAGGCAAAGGACCAGCATGCAGCATGCAAAGAAAAACAGTGTGTTAGCAAACAGTCATCAACTGAGCCCGCCAGGCTCTCGGGAAGGGACTGTGGGAGGTAAGGGTTTATGAAGATGAGCAGGCAAGAAAACACGATCACATTTGGCCCTGAGATACAAAAGTACATAGTCTCAAAGGAATGTGTTTGTGGATGTCATCACACTGACAGAGAAAGAGACACACAAAAGATGTCCTACTGTATATATGGGCACACACATACACACGCACTCATGCACACACACTCACACACACACATACACATACAAATTCATGAATATGCACACAAATGCATGAATACACACACACACACACACGTGAGCGCGTGCATTCATGCATCCTTGGAAACACCACAAACTTAGGAGTGAGCGATGCTGGCCAACACTCAGAACATTCCATCTGCAGTCACAAACAAGAGGGGTAAGAGGAAACCTGGGCCTGATTCCTCAGAATACAAGAACTTCTCTCAAGACACAATCAGAGACCTTCACACTCTCTTGCCCAACAGTCTGCTTCTTGACGCAGGTGTCATCTACTGGTATCATAAAGACCAGACACCCGACACTTGTTCCCGCATGCACCCACAACCACCAATGCAAAGCAGCCTTCATTTTGTCACATCTCCAAGAAGAAGCAAAAGCCAGAAGTGCTGTCCAGAGCCAGCACCCCTTTTTCCAAGGCTGGAGGAAAAGGGGGTGAGGGCTGCTACAGTCGTGGCCCTTCAGCGCAATATCCAAAGAAGAGAACAATTCTTCCAAGTCAGATTGTGCCCAGCCATCCACAAGTAAGTGCAGAAGCCAGAGTCCATCCAACACCAGGTGCCTGCTGCCCCCTCGTGACCTCCACCTTGACATGCAGGAGAAACAGCAGCAACTACCAAACCAGTGGATTGAAAGATGGGGAAACTGGTCCTGGAAGCCCCAGGTTCTGGATGCAGAATGGGAAGGAAAAACTGATATTCTGGGAGCTCTAAGAAGTTCCTTAGCTAGCAGCTCCTCTTCTATCCTTAACATAGGGCTTCTCCTTAGACCAGTTCCCCATGAGGATGAGCCCAGTGCCTAGAAGCCCAGGGAAGCACCAAGATGGTCAAGCAGGTCCCTACACCCCAAAGTACACCAAGATCAGTTACCGGCTTGCTCCTCAAGAAGGGGCTCTATCAGGAAGGGAATGAGAAGGACAGTCACTCGGGTGCTGCTCTGAGGGAGTACCTTCCATCCCTCAACCCCACACCCAGCCACCCACTCTCTGCTCACTGTGGTCTGTCTCGACAGCTAAGGCCAAGCCTCAGGCAATCGTGGGCAGATATGTTTCTCAGCCTTCTGCTCAGATGTGGAGGACTGAGACAGGGTACAAGCTAAAGCATGCAGAGGGCAGGAGAAGGTGGTCTGGTAACAGCTGAGTGTGTGGGACAAGAATGAACCATACAAATGGGTAGGGATCACCAAGGCATTCTGGATAACAGGGCAGGCTGCCTGTTACCTTTGGTAGCTCCTGCAGCCCCAAGATGGTAGATGGAAGCCAGGATGAGCCAGCAGGCCTTCTGTTCTTCGGGGGAGATGGCCAGTACCTTCATGGCCGTCTGTAGCTTACTGAACTGCTGAGCAGCTTTCTGCTTCTCCTCAGGCTAAAAGGTAGAAGGGGATGCTGCCTCTGAACCTCAGATGCTTCCCTTCCAGCATTCCCCATACCACTGGAGGGCCATGCTAGAGCCACCAGTGGGGAATCACCTGCCAACGGAGGCTCCTAGTTCCAGAGCCACCAACTCAGTCCCCATTGCCCAGCTCTCACCTTGGCTAATGGCACAATTCCAAACACATTGTTCTCTGCCAAGTGGTTCAGGTGGAGCTCTGTCCTAGGGTTACAAATGAGGCATCAGCATGTTGCTCTCAGGAGTGACGACCAATCACAGACTCCAGACTACACGTTCTATCTGCCCATCACCCCAGTCATCCAGCCAGATCTGCCACCTTCCCAGCTGGACTGGGTGCCTCAGCAGGACACCAGCCTCCCTAGGACAACGTGTGTAGTCAGAACCCTGGGAAGGAGCTGGCAGGCCAGACGGTGTCTCTGCTGTGAAAGGAGCTGAAGAGGAAGCCTGGAGCCATGTGCTTGGCCTTGAGCAGGGAGCCAGTCTGAAGGCATACATGGGAGAACATGGTAGGGACCCCCATCCAACAGGGGCGGGGTGGGGACTGAGGGCCAGCTGGAGGGTATTGAAGGAGGCTTCACTTCCACACCAGTTCAGTTTACAGTAGGTGTGAAACCGCAGACTAGCCATACTGCCTTCATCCAGGTGAACTTCTTCCCCAGACCCAGAGATCACTGAACACTAAGGAGCCAGCTGTGTCCCTTTTATACAGCATGACCCCAAGATTTAGGGCCAAGTAATTCCTAAATGGCAAACCTGAGTCTCTATCATCTCACCATCCAGAGGGCCCTGCTTGGAGCTAGCACGTAGCAGGTGTGGACACAGGGCACAGTGGGCCAGAAGGCCCAAAACCCTAGTCAGTGGGCTGGAGTCCAGAGTCCATCCCAACAGGGAGCACACCATCCCATCTCACCTGAGGGTGCTATCACCACAGGCCAGCAAGTAGTAGAAGACATTGAAAGTGGCCTCACTGGATGGGCGTCGGGCCACACGCAGCTTCTCCAGGAGCATCGTCTGTGGCACAGCATAAATGAGGAAGATGGTCACACTCCTCCTACGCCTCAGCAGTGGGAACCAGGCCCTGGTCCTCCAACCCCACACAACTCCTATCCAGGCGCTCAACCACCTACCACTTCCAAGACCAGAAAAGGTAGAAACCAGAGCCAGGCAAAAGAAGAAAGTCCCCACTCCTGGAACTACCATGCGCAGCACCCAGAAACCAGCCTTCCTTGGGTAGTGGATGCTTATGGCAGAAAATTTAATTTAGGGGATGGCATGATAGCTTAGCAGACAAAAATGCTTGCTACCAAGCCTAACAACCTGGATTCGATCCCCAGGACCCACACAATGGAAAGAAATGACTGACTCAGGCAATTTGCTCTCTGACCTCCGTCTATGTGCCGTGGCATGTGGATGTGTGTGCAAATGCACACATACACACAAATAAATGAATAAATGGAATTTTTTAAAAAGAAATTTTATTCAGCATGGCAAAGGATTGGTGCACCTGGGTCTTACTTTATTGCCAAGTGTGCAGCACGAGCCTGAGAGAAGCCCTAAGTCCCTGGGTCTTAGAAAGTTGGCAGAGAGGGTGGAGTTCCCAGCAGTAGGGTGTGTGGGGAGGAGATCTGGAGGGCAGAATTAGGTCAGCACAGACCAGCCCTGTCTACACTGTCGTGGGCCTCTATTTCATCAGAGCAGAGTTCCAGGTTAATAGGACACTGGGGAGGCTGACTCCTAGGGCATGAAACCAGGGGTCCATCTTGGTTCCCTAGACCTGGGCAATGTCCTTTACCTGAATGGAGGCTGAGGCCACCTGGCCAGCTTGGTCAAAGTCCAGGGAGAGAATCTGGGAGAAGCGGGTGGCACTGCCATTCATGATGGTAGGGCTGTTCCCGAAGGCTTCCAGGAGGGTGTACAGGGCCTGCCACTTCTCCACTGCAGAGCACAAGCACAGTGGACATCAGGAAGACCAGGGACAGCTTACCTGAAAGCCATGGGCTCCTGGATGCCCCAGACAACAACATGTCCGGATGGCCAGGGATCCGGGCATGAGCATTCAGGGGGATAAGGAATCTGCCCAGGGATCACAGAGCCAGCATCCAGGGGAGTCTTTCTCCTTTCCCCACACCCCTGCCTCACCCCTGCCTGTTTTCCCAGTTGCCCCTGCCTCACCAGAAAACACCTTGCTCCCGCTGGTGCCAGCAATGGTGGTCAGATATTGCACCAGATGCTGGAAGCTGGTGGTCTTGCCACTGCCACTACTACCCAGAAGGACAATGGACTGGTCCTGGCGGCTCATCAACATTGCCCTATATGCAGTTTGGGCCACGGCATAGATGTGGGGTGCCATGTCCTCCCGCCGACACCCCTTGAACATGTGCATCACCTTGAACAGGAAAGGCATAGAGAGAAGGAAGCTTTCAGAGCTAGGCACACCCGGTCCAACTTCTAGGGCTTACATACTTCTACACTGCCATTCTACAGATGCCCAGGTGTTTTGAGGGCAAGGCCATGCATGGAGATGCAGACATCCACCAGCTCTATCAAAGATTGCAGGATATCTTTCTGTCCCCACCCTTTGACTCCTCTCCCCAAGGTCAACTATGAGAGCGAGCAGTAACCCAGTGGACACCAAAGAGGAAGAGTGAAGAGCAGAAAGGGTAAGGGTAGGGTATGAGCGGGTAGGTCCATAGGAAGGCACACCTTCTCTGAATACACAGCAGGGGCCCCTCGGGGGCTGAGGACAAGCAAGCTAGGGCCAGCATAAGTGTGCAGCAGGCTAGCCCCATAGCGTTGGCGCAGTGTGTGCAGGACGCTAGACTCGTTGAGGTACACCAGTGAGGCTAGATCTTCTAGACGGTCACATGAGGGAGCATTAGCCTGGGAAGACAGACAATGAAGACTTGGATTCCATTTCTGTCATAGCGACAGGCCGGCCTGCCCTGCCTGCGTCCTCCCCTGCCAGCAGCCTCCTTCCCACCTTCTCTATGTCATCTTCATCCACATCCAGGATGGCTCCATCGTGGTCTAGCTTCACACGCACCTTCCCCTCTGGTAGGCTGAGCTCCTCCGACTTGAGCTGGCTGGCTGCAGAGCAAGGATAGTTGGACTTGGGCCTGGGAAATTCTACTATTCTCTTCAGACCTTTGTGGTCCTGCCTTCTTCCCACTGGCTCACCAGCCTCTCCTTGCTCATCCCAGCCCTTACCAGAAGTAGAGGCATTCACCTTGCCAGCCCTGAGTCAAGCCCTACATCTATCCCAACCTCCAGAGACTCACCCAGGGAGAACCCATCCTTATGGACCAGCCACACCTTCTCCGTCTCATACCAGGCCTCTTCAGCTGCAATCTGGTCTTCTGTCTTGGCCTACAGAGGGAAGGGAGGAATAAACAGACACTGCATTAAAAGAGAGAGAGACAAGGACATTAGGGATGAGGAGACAAGGGAGGAAAGGCTTCAAGCTGAGCCATTGGGCAAATAGGAAAGTTAGGTGGGAGACACAGGACACAGGGTGGGAGGGGTAAGGTCAAGGAAAAATGGTAGGGAGCCAGGAGTGCTGAGGACAAAGACAATGAGATTAGGGATTGTACCAACTCTGAGGATCCAGGGACACAGGAGCATTGAGGCCAAGAGTACTGGCCCCAGGAAAGCAAGTCACCAGGCTCCATCTCCAGCTGCTCTATCCCCTCCTCCCTGGGAGCCTGTGAGATCTGTACCCTGACTCAAGCCCTGAACTCTTCCATGCCAAAAGAAAGGCCTCTTCCCCTAGGCTGGGAAGAGCCATTTCCTGTATCCTAAGATTCTGCCGTGGGCTCCAGCCTGAAGATGCTATGTGACCAAGGGGACAGTGCCCATCTCCAAGTTACAGTTGACAAAGGCACCACTTGGAAGATAGTAGCTGTACAAATTTAGTGGACATATTAATGTCACATGAGGGCACAGGGCAGCATGGGCATGGGGACAGTGCTGATCTGTGAAATACAGGGAGCACTGAAAAGGTATGAAAAGGCTAGGACACCCCCGGAGGTCCCCAGAGATCACCAATCAAAATAAGCATTTATAAGCACTGTCAGAATGGGGCTATCAGATCTGACACCCTCTAATAAGAACACTTGAAGCGGGGCAGTGGTGGCGCATGCCTTTAATCCCAGCACTCGGGAGGCAGAGGCAGGTGGATTTCTGTGACTTCAAGGCCAGCCTGGTCTACGGAGAGAGTTCCAGGACAGGCTCCAAAGCTACACAGAGGAACCCTGTTTTTGACTGGAGAGATGGCTCAGTGGTTAAGAGCACTGGCTGCTCTTTCAGAGGTCCAATTCCCAGCAACCACATGGTGGCTCACAACCATCTGTAATGAGATCCGGCGCCCTCTTCTGCCCTGCAGGCAGAATACTAAATAAATAAAATCTTTAAAAAAAGAAACCCTGTCTTGAATAACAAAACAAAAAAATAAATAAATAAATAAACTTGGGCTAGGAAGCAGCAGCACCACAAGGGGTGGGACAAGCAAAGGACCTAGCTACCCTGGTTATCAGGCCCCTTGGCAGCATGTGGGCAAAATACCAGCAATATGATGGGTGGTATTTTGAGGGAGGATGGCCACTCTAGCAGACCAGCTCTCAAGTTTGCACTGACTCCAAAACTCTCCCCAGCTGGCAACCCCCCACTTCCTTACCCTAAGTGTGTCCCCTTCTCATGAGACCCTGTGATACTGAACCCTGGCTGAAGGATCAGAAAATGGCAAGAACAAGTAGCATATAGTATCGTCTTTGGCACATTTTTAGATTTGAAAAGGGGGGAGATCAATAGGCTGACCATAACAAAACTGTCAATGTCTTGATTTGTCAAAGTGAGAAAAAAATTTAAAATACTGTGTTTTGTTTTTTAGTATTTGAAGGACTGGGCTGGGAGTGTTGGCATACTCCTTTAATCCCAGCACTCCAGAGGCAAGAGGCAGGTGGATCTCTGAGTTCAAGGCCAGCCTGGTCTACACAGTAAGCTCTAGAACAGCCAGGACTACATAGAGAGACTCTGTCTCAAAAAAAAAAAAAATCACCAGTGTTTTGTCTTTTTCAGATCACATGAAGCAGCTGAAACCTTTGTCTTGAGTGAGCAAGTTCTACGGCCAAGTGTTAGAGGGATGTCAAAGGGTCAAGGGTCAGGGTCATAGTCAGGGTCATGGCCAACAGCTTCCTTAGAGAGTATCTGAGAACAAGTTTCTCACGCTGACCATGAGGTGGAGACAGAGACCATCTCATCTTCAGGCTGGGGCTAAGGAGGAAGAAGGGTCTTTTGGTTTTTTTCCTACCCAGAGTGACCTGGGCTCCAATGGCTGAGAATTACATGAGGCAAAGCTGAGGCCATGATGCTCCCCAAGGGCCACAGCTGCACCATCTCAGCTCCCCTGGGTCCGCTACTACAGAGTGGGAACCTGGAGGGAAAGAGGCCTTACACTCCAGCAGGAGGCCCGAGCACAGACGCCTGCCCAGGTGTAAGATGGGGGTGGTGGGTTGTCACCGGAGAAAGCAGAGGGCTCCTGGGTGGGGCAGGAGCACCCTACCTGACTGTGGGCAGGAGAGGCGGCTTCGGGGTCCAGCTGCCAGCAGCAAGCAAAGAGAGAAAGAGAGAGAAAGGTGAAGACAGGTAGAGACCACTGCAGGTCCCCATCCAAGAGATACCCCTGGACCAGTGAGCTAGCATTCTGTTCAAGATACATTGTGGAAGTTAAGAGTACTTGCCCAAGACTAGGGTGCTGGCCAGGCAAAAGAAGCCAGACCACCAGGGGTGGTTGGGGGGTTCTTGTTATCACCAGACCCTCCAGAGGAAAGGTTTTTGTGGGTCACTTTTTGTAGCACATAGGCATCTGTCCCTCTGTCAGTCTCTCCTGGACTGGCTATTCAGTCTACTCTGAATTAATCTCCCTCTTCCATGACTCTGGCAGGCCAGGCCACCTCACAACACCCAAGGCATGGGTCCCCTGAAATCCTCCTGCTTTTTTTTTTTTTTTTAATCAGGGTATCAGCTTCCTTGTGGCTACCAAACACCAAGAGAATGCAGTCCCTTCTCCCTAAACACATGCCTGGGGATGGGGGGTGCCACTCCCCATGCTATATTTTAGAGCTAGCACAAGGGCAACTACAGTCTAAATCTAAGACACCTTCCTCAAGCTGCCATGGCACCATGTTCTACTCCTGGGAAGGCACACTGACCACATGGCAAACAGAGGTATCATTCCACCCAGCTCCAACCTTAGGGTTGCCTGTCAACTGCCCAGCCCTTGAGCACCCCTGACCTCTTAAATTACATCGTGGTTACTTAAGCTTTCAAACACCTTTTGGAAGAAACTAGAGCCAGGCAAGCTTTGGATGTTGCCTGTTAGAAGTGAGAAGGGTTAATATCCCTACATGGATCTAGACACTGAGCATCAAAATGGGAAGCATCTACTCCTGCCTTGTCACACACCAGGCCCTAACACCAATGAATGTCCTCAAAGTAGGAGACCAGGGCTACAGAAGGAGACTAGATACCCAGCTATGAAGGGCCCCTCCATGGTCTCAGCCCTAGGTTGCCTAGAGTAGCAATACTCCATAGAGTTCAGTTTTCTTTTCCTTAACCTGAGCCATTGGGAGGGTTCATGGATAGCCACAGCCACAGGTTCCCCTGTATCCTCTCTCTCTCTCTCTCTCTCTCTCTCTCTCTCTCTCTCTCTCTCTCTCTCCCCCTCTTTCTTT